GAGAATGGGGTTGCATCTTAAATCTGACGTTAAGGAGATTGAATTTTTTGCTGTGGGTTATGGGATGTATTTATTTATTTATTTATTTGTACCAGGGATCGAACGTACAACCTTACTCTTGCCAAGCAGGCGCTTATGCTGCTGTACTAAATTCCTGGCCTTGATGAATTTTTAAACTAAGAGTAATGTGGTTACATAGATTTACATTTTATTTATTTAAACTTAAAATTTTAAAAATTCACTTCTCAGTGATACATAAAGAGATTTCTGTTAAGTCAGTTTATGAGCTTTATGAAGGATATATTGAAGAGGACAAAATCAATTAGAAGGCTCCTGAAGTAGTACATGTGAGAGATGTTGAAATAGGAATAGTAGTAGAGATAGATCAAGAAATGTACACAGCCAGATGTCATGGCACATTGCACTTGGAAGGCTGAGGCAGGAGGATTGCTTCGAGTTGGAGGCCAGCCTGGGCTACAAAAAGTTCAAGGCCAGCCTGAACTGCATAGCGAGACTGCCTCAGAAAAGAAAGAAAAAGAAAAAAAAATGGAGAGAGAATAAAATTGGCAAAACTTCGTAAGGAGAGAACAATGGAGAAAAAGATGTTATTGCTAACTAAGATAGAAAAATAAAGAGAAGTGGTTTCATTTTTACTTTAGGTAAGATTATAGAATCAGTTTTGGATATGTTATATGAGAAGTTCTTTATGATTCATCTGGATGGAATTTTTCACAGATTCTGTTGTGAAAAGCGATGTAATTGTAATAGATACGAGGCTACACTAAACCAGACCATCTAGGATCAAATTGTGGGTCTGCAAATACTTTATGACGTTAAGAAGTTACTTAACCTTTCTGTACTTCTGTTTTGCATCCTTAAATCAGAATAACAATAAAGCCAGGCATGGTTGTACATGCCTATAAGCTCAGCAGTTGGAAGGCTGACAGGAGGATCACCATGGGTTGGAACCCAGCCTGGGTTACATAGTGAGCTGGAGTCCAGTCTGAACTGCGTAATGAGATCCTGTCTCAAAACAAAAACAAAAACAAAAATATATGTACCTGCCTTTTCTTGGGGAATTGTGAGGACTTAGCTAACTATAAAAGTACTTACAACATTGTTAGACTATCAAAAGTTTTCCAGAAACATGAATCGTTATCATTTCAATATTGAAATTGGTATGCTGCCACAAGGTGGCAGGTATACATTACAGTTATACAAATTAAACAGTAAAACCATCAGTTTTTAAGAATATAAAATACGGACCATAGTAACTCAATATAAGGTATTTCATTCTGGTAGAACACCTTTGTTCCAAACAAAAACTGAAATTAGGTAAGGGAAAGAGAGATCAGAGGGTAAAGATGAAGAGATTTCCAAGGAAGAACAAGAGTATATTTGATCTCACAGAAATTTTAAGACATCAGAAATTCATGCTGTTCTCTCCACCATTTATTTTCTCAGTTCGTAATATTTTATACACCTTGCTTTACAGATGAGCTTTGTTTGCCTGTACATCAGTTTGTATGTGACAAAAAATTTATAGGATTAGTTCCTATAAATTAGTTCCTAAATTTATTTGGTCTAGTAGAGTTCTCACTAGATACATATTTTTAAAAATCACTATGACAAACAGGAGTTTTGTCATAGTCCCTTCAGAGTCCCTCACCTCTCCGAGACCTGTCTCATTCAATTAAGTTCTGTCTTCTAATAAGCTAGCAACCGAACCTTCAATACAATGAGTTTTTTGGGTATTTTATCTATTTATTTATTTATTTTTGGTACTGGGATTTAAATGCAGGACCTTGTACTTGTCAGGCAGGCATTTATGCCTCTGAGCTATATCCCTGGCCCTGGATGATATTTTAGACAACTATATCAGTTTCTTAAAATCCAGCTTTATTTTCTGTACATCTGAAGAGGTAGAGATGGCAATGCCAAACCAGCTGTATAATAGAAAGTTGGATGTTGTTTTCAATATCTACTAATTATTATTTTAGGTAGGTAATTTATTCTTTGTATCCCAGCTCTTTTCTCAATAAATGTTTTCTAGCATATTCTCATATCTCTATCCAAATTGTCTTTCTGTTGTAGGTTCTCTTAATGCTTGTGGGTTTTTTTTGTTTGTTTGTTTTGGTTTGTCTTTTTGAGACAGTCTTCCTATGCAGTTCAGGCTGACCTTTGTAGCCCAGGCTGGCCTCAGACTTGCAGTGAGCCTCCTGCCTCAGCCTTCTGAGTGCTGGGATTACAAGAGTTGCCACCATGTCTGGCTTTTTATTTAAACACTTTTTATCACTTGAAATTAGATGTTTGTGTTTAACCGTGTTTTAAATTTGATTTTCCTATCTGATTACAGCTCATGGGAGCTGAGTTTGCATCTGTTTTATTCATTGGTATGCCCTGCCTTAGCACACACCTGGCATGTTATGAACAGTCAATAAATGTTGAATAAATGAACTACGTACTTACTAACTGACCTGTGCTAAATTATGTCCTTCACAGAGAGAAAACTGTGCAACCACATCTCTTTGGGAAAACCTTTGAAAAAATTAGGACAAGACAGTTTTTTGTACTACTTCCATATACATTGAATGACTGAATTTAAGAAATTGTGCTCTTTTAACCTTTATTTCTCACAGCTGGTGAATTACAAGCTAGTCTAGACTAAAAAGTCCTTATGTGGGATGACAGATTGTGACTCATTTCTAGTACAGTGCCTGGCACTTTGTAAACACTTGGTGAACATGCAAAAACCTACACAGATTTCAATTAGGTTTTTTTTGGAAGGGACATTATAAAAACTTGGCATGTTTTCATACATTTTGAAATTCATTTTTCTGTTAAGAATGATCATTTATAATATAAATCTTGAGTTTAAGGAATAAATTCTTATTTATGACTATTTAGTCATCTTCTTGTCAAGATAAGACACTTGCTTGGGATCTGAACCAATTTTGAAAGGCAAATGTATGTGACCATACTATCTTTCCAGTAAATCTTGCAACTATTTCTGTCCCTGCATATGTTAGCATTTTTATAATTGGCTTCCAAATGGCAAACACAGATGGCTGTAGTCTGAATTTTCAGCATGTTTTAGAATAAATGTTTTCTCAGTAATTTAAAAGTGCATTATTTCAGAATCAGATGGTTATCTGAGTTTTTGCTTATTTACTGGCTTGCCATTTTTCAGCTTTAAAATAAAAGTGACTTAAATAGCTATAAGAATTGGAATATGTGATATGATCTGTACCTTCCCTCACATTTTTATCTAGAACAGAAAGCTATTGTGATACTATTTTCCTGAGAATTTAAAAGTTTTATTTTTGTTTTTTTCTTGGTGGAAGAGGGAGATTATACTGAGAGATTATTTTAAATAATTTTCTCTCTTTATTTTTTTTTTTTGAGACAGGGTCTTACTATGTAGTTCAGGCTCCCCTTGAGCTTACTATGTAGCCTTGAACTCACAGCAATCTTCCTGCCTCAGCCTCTTGAGTACTAAGATTACAGGTGTGTGCCATCATGCCTAACTGATAATGGTTAATTTTAATTTTGAAATCATGGACTTTTTTTACAAAGAAGAATTAGATATATCTCTTTATCATCTTAGTTGTCAGTTTTTATGGAGCTCCTTAAAACTATTGCTGTATAGTAACTTCCCTATAAAAGGTAAAGTACCCTTTTTTATTTAACATATATTTATTATCATTCTAGGCTTGAATATGTAGAAGTGAACAAAAGTCTTTGCCACCATGGAATTTACTTTTTGTTTCATGTTCAAAAAAAAATACAATTTCATATAATCAATATAAACATAAAACTTTTTATAATTTCATCTTTAGATATGATTTAAATGCTATAATAGAACCATTCTTTTCATTCGCTTTTTACTGTCTTTTTATTTACTGGGTTCATATAGTCATGGATACGGTTGTCTCAGAGTCTTTTTTTAATGTTTTATTATTGGCTATGTATTATACATTGAATAAATATTAAATATGTATTTTGACAGATTTTGAATTTTAAACAAAATTTTAATCTTTGCCTTCGTATGTTCTCCTGTCTAAATATATCCTAATGTGACAATCTATTTGAAGAAGTTTCTGAAATTGGATGTAAACATTGAGTGTCATTATTATGAATATTTTTTGGCATTGCTGTCACTCTCAGATTTTTTTTCTATTTTTAAGTTTTTTTTATTACCTACACTTCTGATTCTATTTACAGATAGTATATTTACTAGTAGTCCAGTTAGCTTATTTTTAAGAATGAATCTGTTATCCTTCAAAGTGGTTTAAGTGCATTCCAAGAGTTTAATAATATGCAACTAGAAACAACTGTTCTTGCACCTGTTTCACAAGCAGACACAAGTTGGAATAACGGGTTAGTGGCTGCATAACTAGGAAAAAATTAAATGCTACATGTTTTTATTTTCTGTGAGGCTGATAATTAGCTATTTCTGTTATGAGTTAAATACTAAGTGAATAAAACATTTCTGCATACTATCATCTATATAAATATACATTATACTGTATGTTATTTAGTAATCAGATAGTTAACATTAGCATCATTAACAGGATTACTTTAATACTTTGTGTAATAAAAATTTATTGGCATACAGTCTTTTGTGATAGGTCTAGTAATTGTAATAGGTCTAGGTTGTATATTTCCTCTTTTTTAAGGCATAAAGGAACTTATACATGGTCTTTTTTATCTTTCTCCTTTTAACGTGATTATGAGTGCAAATTAAATTTATAAATTGTTGGTAATATTTGTTTCATATAAAAGTTAGAAAATTTATAGCATCAGAAAAGGAAATTAAATGTAATTTCAAATCCAGAAATACACCAAAGTTATTATGGTTATAGTTTTCCAGAATTTACCTATGCCTTTAAGTGTAATGTTCTTAAAATTCAAGCCAGATATATACAGTTGTTGAAGGCTGTCAACTTGAGATTGGCATTTTAAAAAGGAAATGTTGTACTGTGTTTTGTTTTCTGTAGCTTGCCCAGTTTCGTCAGAGAAAAGCTCAATCTGATGGGCAGAATCCTCCCAGGAAGCAGAAAAAAAAAAGAAAAACCTCAAGCAGTAAACATGATGTGCACAGTTTGAATATTGATCAACCACAGAGTGATGAGATGTACATAAATAGTTCTCAGGGAGTAGGATCAGTCTTGACTCCCGAATCCACAATAAAGAGAACTCTGCACAGTGGGGAAATAATCAAGCCTGAGCAGGTCTTCTCTCTTGAAGTAAGTATACATACAGATTTCTCATCATTGTAATTCTAAGTGGAAAATAGTTACTAGCACCTCATGCAATTTGTTTGTGATTTTTGTGTCTGTAAGTATCAGTATTATAGTAACTGAACATCTAAAATATTTAGTAATCAATTTCTGAGAGTGAATTTTGCAAGCTTAATTATATAAATATTAATTGAGCAACTGCAATACACCAAAGCTGGAGCACCAACACTATGTTGATGAGTCTGACAGTCTTCCCCTTTAGAAAAATTAGTTTAGTGGGGAAGGCAGATAAGATACACAGTGTATTCACACAGAGCTACATTATCAGCTATCCACATGGTACTAAAAAGTGCAACAGTGCTTTGCAAAAGTGCAACTCAGTTTTGTCTATGTGATTGGTGAAGGTTTCTAGGTAGTTGGGACTACAGATATGTAGCATATAGATAAAAGCAGGAACTTTGACAGAAATTAGGTTGAATATGTAGATGAATTTGAAGAATAGTGTTATATTAATGTCTTCCAATCTGTTGTATAATTTATTTGGTCCACCTTGAATTTCTTTCAATTTTATTTTGTAGTTTTAAGTGCATAAATCTTGTACTTATTTCATTAAATGTATTCCTAAGATTTTATTGCTATTTTATTTCTGAGAATTTTATTGTTTTTGTGTGTATTGTTTTTTTTTCTTTTTTTAAAAAATAAATTTATTTACTTATTTTATTTGTCTTTTTGCTATGCAGTTCAGGCTGGCTTTGAACTTACTTTGTAGCCCAACCTAGCCTCAAACTCATAGTGATCCTTTTGCCTCTGCCTCCCAAGTGTGGGGATTACAAGCATGTACCACTGCACTTGGCTGTAGATTATTTTATCTTTATTTTTTGATTATAGAAATATCTTGTTTAATGACCAAGTTAAGTTCCTTCAATAGATTGTAAAGTATATTGATCACTAAATGAGGAGCTGTATATTGTATATATACATTATGTATATATACATTACAAAAGTCAGAACAAAGAAATGGTCAAAGAAAATTCCAAAATGATGAATTTGCTTTTATTTGCATAACTCTTATGTGAGGTACTATAATGTATAATAACATAAAGTTGCAGTATTGTATGTGCATTACCATCAGCAGAAATTACCATATTATAAAAAGTGTACTGTACAGGAAGAGTGAAGATATGTTATAAGTTTGAACAGTGTACCTTGGTCTTAGTCTGCACAGTATTGTTTCTCATATTAGAGGAATGCATTCAGGTTTCTATCTTGAGTATTAGCTCATATGTTAATATATATGTATATATTGCCTTTTGTCAGATTGAGTTCTTTCTAGTCCTGATTTATTCATTGTATTTATTATAAAGGAATATTGAGTTTTGTTAGATGCCTTTTCTGTGTCTATTGATAACTAGTACAAAAACTGTTACTATAGAAGATAGAAGATGTTAGAAAACATAATTTCAGTCATTTTAAATATTGAATTCTTTTCATGACTTCATATACATTCCTCTCTCTAGAGTTCAGAAAAGTTCATTTTAGTTGTTTTCACTTGAGTTTTACTGATTCTTCTGTTCAAATCATTAGATCATTATTCTCTATAATGAGTTTTTTCATGTCTTTTTTTTGTTATTTTCTTTATCAATTCCAGAATTTCCCTTTGGTTTTTATAATTTGTTTCGTTTATTGTTCTCTATTTAGTATGGCATAGTTCTTAACAATTTTCTTCAGTTTTTGTAGACATTATTTCTTTTAGTTACTTAACTATACAATACAATATTTAAAAATAGCTGGTTTTAAGTCTGTGTCTATTGATTTCAGTTTGTGTTTTTTCAAAGACAGTTTCTATTGACCATTGTTTTTCTTGTATATATGCCACATACTCCTTTTTCTTTGTGTATAGCATAGTTTTTACCTGGGCATTTTAAATAAAGTGACTGGGCAACTTTGATATGTGATGTGGCTTGAAGGTACATTATTTACTATTGCATAGAAAACCAGTATTTGTGGGATTCTTCAGTGTAGGTTTAGCACTTTGAATGCAACAACTGTTTGCTTAGCCATTTTATTCTCAGCACAATTTCTACTGCACTTCTGACTTAATCATTTAATGTGAGGTTTGTGTCATGAAAAATTTTAGTTTTAAAGGAGGGCCTAATGAGTTAGCCACTGTTACAGAATTTTGGAGAAGAGCCTCGCTTGTTTCTGTTCCATCAGCAGTTTTTGTTCTATCAGTTATTACTTCATAGAGAAGCAGACTTCGAACTTAATCTTGAATGCTGAATGACACTTCCATAGGTGTAAATGAGAATAGACAAATGACAATTAATACTTGTTGAATAAAAGAGGAAAATATCCAGGTCTTACTTTCCTTACTAGTAAAGTGAGATTCTTGGGTTAGATGTGATGGAAAATGAAAGTAATTTTGAAAGCAAAGAGAATCAGAATTCGTTCTACTACTTCTTAGCTGAGGAATGTTTGGAAAAGCTATGGATTTCATGCGCAAATCCCAAGGATATAATAGTAAAGTACAGTTACCTTTCAGAGTGCTTTGAAAGCTGCAAATGTGTTTTTACAATAATGATTGTTATGTTCTTTAAAGTAAATACTTTTTAATATCAAGATCTGATGGTTCTTTTGAAGAAATTGAAGTTTTTCTGACAGCATTTTAATGACTTTTTAAAGGAGATACAAGGATTAGAGGAATAGTGTCTTATTTGATGCTTTGGGCATACAAATGATATCTACTATACACAAGACCTGTGTGAAAGTTGTGAAAAATGTCTAGTGATATAGTTCATGTTTTATTTGGTACTTGTAATTCATAATCAAATGAAAATTTTAAAGGTCATTTTACTAGTCTTTTAATGGTATTTTATCTGAGGTTTCTATCATAGACTAGTAACAGTAATGTCTTAATATTAGTAAAGGTTGGTGTTTAATAGGGAAAAAGTTATAATTGGTTTTTATTTTTATTTTAGCCAGAAAGTGAAATTTCAACCACAGCAGATGATTACAGTTCAGAGGTAAGACTAACATAATTTCAAATTTCATAAATAAAATTGATATTTTATATTATTGAAATTATTGTTTATACTTTATTTCTTGCAAATGTGTATGCTTCTAGTGTATTTTTAAAATATAATCAATGTAATGTAAACCATTAGAAAATCTGAAGATTATGTTTTATTACTGTATTCTTTTTTAGTTGTTAGCTAAGGTTTTAACTGTTTGAATAGTTCAAACAGTTGGTTTGAACCAGTTTGGTCCATTTTAGATAGAGGACCTGTTTTAGTTCCTGGGAAAATGTTCAACGCTTGGTTTCCATAATACGTCACAATTACAAGATAATCATATTTACCACAGTAAAGTTTTATGTCAGACTTTTTGAGTAATGCTTTTTATAAATGCGTCAATTGTTAGATTGTCATGAACACTTGTTTATTGAAATTAATATTTCAATAGGATTTTCAGTTTAGGTAACAAACTATAAAACTGACATTGGCATCTTTAGGAAATACCTTCTTTATTTGTGACCAGTAACTATATGCCATACTGTTACCTGATTGTCTTAGCTATGATTGTCATTTCTTTGGTCCAGATGTATTTATTTATTTATTTAGGGTTTTGTAGTGGATCTTACTGTCTTCAAAGTAGTTGCCTATATTATCAAACAAAACAGAATAGAATAAAATCAGTCAAAATAAAGTGGTGAAAGCAGTACAGAGCTTCAGATCAAGTTAATAGGAAATCAAAAATGGTTGCCATATTATATCCTGCTATCTTTGGAATAGCTGTCCATGCCATCAAATGTAATACAAGTAGACAAACTGAAAACAGAATAAAACCAAACTAAACAGAACAATGAAAACAATATGGGTTTCAAATCATGATAATAGATTAACAATGGCCACCGCCTTCCCTTCTTAGACAATTCCTCCCCTTTCACTTTCACAGGATGTATTGTACATTTTGTATCACACTAACTCCTTTAGTTTTATTAGGGAGGCAACTATTCACCTAAGTGGTTCTGAACCTTTTTACCACTAAGCATGACCTCAAGTTATATCCATTTACCTACAAGAGCCTCAAGGTTTTCTTTCTTTATAGCTGAGTAGTTTTCCATTATATAAAAGTGTCATGGCTTTCTAACCAATCTGCAGCTGATGGGCAAGCTGTCCCCACTTTTTTGTGGTTCCCTGTCACATACAGCATTGTTTGCTCATCTTTGACTTTCAGTCTATAAACTCCCTTTCGAGTTAAATGTATTTCTTATATAAAGCATATTGATGGACCCTATCTCCTGACCCACTCTGCCTGTGTTTCTTTTCATTGGTGAATCACAGCCATCTGTATTAGTGATTATGGCCAACCTCCTCTGCTATGGCTGTGCCTCCTCTGCTATGCTTTTTTCTGCTGTTGGTTGTCTACTTTTCCCCTTCATTCTGATGTCTGGCCCGTTCAGTGAGCCCCCTCTGCCATTGTTCCTGAAACCATGGCCTTTTTTTTTTTCTCTCTCTAGAATGTCCTTTAGTATTTTTTGTAGGGTTGGTATGGTGGTCATGAACTCTCCCAGTTCCTCTTTGTCCCAGAAGCATCTTGTTTCTCCATTAATTTTGAAAGATAGTTTTGTATGGTACATCAATCTGGATTGGAGGTTTTCTTTCAGGACTTGGAATACTTCCCTCCAAGCTCTTTTTGATTTGATGGTTTGTCTCACGAAGTCTGTCATGATTCTGATGTGTTTTCCTTTATAGTCCATCTTTTTCTTTTCTCTGACAGCTTTTAATATTCTGTTCTTGTGTTGCATTTCTGGGATCTTGATTATTATATGTCTGGGTGTAGATCTGTTTTGGTTATAGCTGGCTGGTGTTCTGTATGCCTCACTTACCTGAATATCATTTCCTTTTCCTATGCTTGAGAAGTTTTCTTTAATTATTTCTGTAAATAACCTTTGTATTTCTTTGTGTTTACCCCTGCTTTTTCATTCTTAAGTTATACTTCCTCTTGTCATCTTGTAGCCTTTGTATTGTTACTTCCTGGTTCCTTGTTATTTTTAAGAGATCTTTCCTTTCACAATTGCTAGCTGCAAACCTGTCTTCAAGGTTTGATAGTCTGTCCTTAGTTTCTTTCATGCAATTTTGCCAGCTTTCAATGGCATTTTTTTTCCACTTTTTTTTTTTTTTTTTTTTTTTTTGTCTTTTTCCTTTTTATCGGTACCGGGGATCGAACTCACAACTGCCTGCTTTCAGGGCAGGCGCTTATGCCGCTGAGCTAAACCCCCAGCCCCTCAATGGCATTTTTAATTTCCTGGTAATCTCTTTGAATCTGTTTCATGTATTCTAGGTTTTTTTTTTAAATATTCTTTATTGACGGTTTCCCTCATTATTCTATGCTCCTCTGTTCTTCCAACTATATCTTTAGAGGTATTTAGTAGTTCTTTTATGTTTCACATTTTTTCTTTTATTTGGGATAGTATTTCTGTTCTAAGTTCTTTAATAGCCTCTTGAAGCTATTTCTTTATTTCAGTTGCTGTTGCTTCAGAAACTGTAGGTAGGCCACTCCTGATCTTTTCCATGTTTACATCTTCTGGACCAGTACTGCTTGAGTTGGAGGCCAGAGACTGCCTTTTGTTTCTTTCTCTTGTCATGTTCCTAGTTCCTTACGAACAAGTATGTATTGGGATCCCCAGCATTTCCTGTGTTTGCTACAATTTTTCTGAAGTGAGATTGCCTTTTCTAGCCCATGCAGGCTAGAGATATCTGTTGTTGACCATTGGGTGTGCTGGTATAGGGCTGTTTGCCGCTTTTCCCAGCCTGCTGGTGGCTCCTGGAGTGCAAGCAGGGGCAGGGCAGGCTGCTTCTTTCCTCCCAGGCTGGTTAACAGCAGGGAGCCTTCACCACATAAAGCATGTGCAGGGTTGCCTTGTTAAAGTACACAAAGTATGTGCAGGGCAGACCAAGCTGGTTGAGGATAGCTTTATGGAAACCTGGATGATGGCTGTTGGACTGCATACAGGGGTGGGACTCGGTCCAAATAATTTGCAACAGTCTGCTTGGGGCTTATCCTGCTCAACTCCAAAATGGCATCACTCACACTCACATGGAAGGACTGAGTCTCCCACACTCTCTGCTAGCCAGGGCAGTTCTCTAGTCTGCTGCTTCCCTCTGCCACCACATCTCCCTGCCGAAGCCTTCAGGCTTACCAGTCACCAGCTTCCCTGTGACTGTGCATCCCTAGGTTACAGCAGCGCTTCTCGCACGCACAGTGGGTCCGGCTCTGAGTGAAAACACCGCCATCTCCTGCCTTCTTCTGGTTTTTTTGTTTTGTTTTGTTTTGTTTCCTTTTTTTAATGCTCTCTGTGGGTTTCATTTCTTACTATAGTTTCTTCTTGGGTTGAGGGGACTCACTTCTTTCCTTCTTGTCTTCTCCAGAATGCTGTGTTCCAGCATCTGGACTGTTTTTCTCAGAGAGGCTGTTTACTCTGCTGCTTACTGTTCCACCATCTTGTTCTGTTCTTTATGTGTCCAACTTGCTTAATCTCTACCCCGTACCAATTCTGTTATCATTGCTGATCCGCCCCTAATCCACTGCATGGTGCCCTGGATGTCCAGCTTCTCTGAGGCCCGATTCTTGGCGCAGATTGTCGTGGGCTGACCTTTGGTCCAGATTTAGAGGATATGGAAAACTATTCCCTACTCTGAATGTTTCTTTCTTTCTTTTTTATTTTTTTAGATTTTTAATTTTATTTTAAAGAGGATAAGCGAAAACAAAACAATAAAAATGATTCAAGATTTCAAAACAAGATTATTATAAAATTAACGGTCACTATATTGCATATTGTTATCTTTGAAATAGTTGCTCAGATTACAAGATACAGGCATGCAAAACAGATTTTAAAAAGTTTCTATGAACTAATAGAATTAGTAGTACAGTTATCTTAGCTATCTTGTGTGTGTGTGTGTGTGTGTGCACATGTGTCTCTGTGTGTATTTCTCTTCTTTTTTCTTTTTCCCCATCCCAGTTGTTCTTTCCTTTTGTGCAGTTTCTTTCCCTTTCACAATACCTTTTGGATCTTATTTATTGTTTTTCTACTTTGAATGCAACTTAGTATATTACATAAATCTCAATGTACTATAGGTTTTTAATACAAAAAAATCCTTCATGTTCCCATTACAGTTTTATATCAATAATGAGAGCAAAAACTGTGACACTTTAGAAGTATAATATATTTAAAAGTTGGATGGTTAGTTAATAAGTTGTCAAGAAAACATTTAACCAGTGTTAAATAAATTGTTACCCCTATGGGACGAATCTTTATTTTTTTAATCTCTTGTCTTAATAAGTGCCTTAATTCTTACAAATTGTGTTTCTTCATTAAAGTGTTAGATGCCTTGAAATACTTCAAAACTCTACAAAAATCTGTTTTTCCTTTATAGGAAAGTGAAATTTTATTATATGTCAGTTGGCTGTAGGTTAAACTATTCCATACATCCTCAGAAAATTTAGCTAAAATTCATACAGTCATTTTCTCACAAAAGTATCACAGCAAAATTTTAATTTTAATAATACAGATTGTGCAGTTTAATGTAGTAATTGTCAGTTTTTCTTTACGCAATATAATAATATTGGAAATTCATATTAAAATAAGACCATTTTGGCTTAAGTGTTTTAAAATGAATAAGAGATGGGGATTATGAAGTCCAAAAACTGTATTGAAATTATGTATCTGTGTCACCTAGTAAATATATGTTTTGAAGTAAGGTACAAATAGAATTTAAATATAAGCACTGGAGATAAAATTTAGAATAGCATTTATCGTACTCATTGACTTTGGCCCTTGGCAAGAAATATGTTTTACTTATATATGTATAGTTTCATATATGTAGTTGTATGCATGAATACATAGAAATAAATATGTATACATACACATGTTTTTCAAATAAATTTCAGGAAAGATACAATAAGATGTAGCCTGAAATATTTTTTCTTTTCAATCATGGTCACAACAATTAACAGCCTTAAACTTAGGGAAAAACAGTGATTTAAAAGCTAACATGGAACTAAAAGGGGTGTCTTGAGCATCCCTCCTGTGTCATACACAGATTGCAGAGTTTGGGTGTACCCTACTCTCTAGTATTTGCTGCCTTTTCCCTTGTAGACACCTGACACAATGGGGAGAAAGATGTAGAGACTTTTGCTTTTAAGACAGTATTTTCAACTCATGTCTCTTATTATTAATATCTTCTACTCCAACAAAGTTGTTTTCCTTCAGGAAATCATCTTTACTGCTCCTGATGCTTTTGATAAGATTTCCAGTGGTAGTCTAAAAGACCTTTCTGAATGGGACAATGGCAAAGAGCTAAAAATTGATATCATCCCTAACCCTTTGGAATGCATCCTGACTTTGGTAGACACAGGCATTAGCGTGAACAAGACTGACTTCATACATAATGAGTTACTGCCAAGTCTGGTGCTGAAGCATTTATGGAAACTCTTTAGACTGGTGCATAGAGCTTTGTGGCTGAGCAATGTTACTGATTTAGATCTAGATGCCCCCTGCCCCAAGCCTCATGTGGTCACAGTGTTTTTTCAGAGGCTGAATCTAGAGTGTGTAATTGATTGGCATTGCAATGCCAGGATTAAGGGTGCTGGGATTCAGGGTGAGTGATATCTGGATCAGTCCACTGATTGGATTGACATTGCCCTAATCTCGGTAGACTGGGTACAACATAAGGGACAGAAAGAGGCTTTCTAGCCTTCACTTGTTGCTTTTACTGTTTTCCTCTGCCATGAACTGTTGCCCTTCTGTCATGTGTTACCTAGCCTTGGAGCCGGCTAATTATAGACTGAAACCTATATAAACCGTAAGTTAAATAAACCTTTCCTATGTTAACTTGGGGTTTTTGGGTATTTTGTCTCAGCAACAAGAAAAGTAATGACAGGCAGTTTGGTTTTGACTTTTTTTGTGCCTGTCTAGTGGGAGAAAAAGTGGTTGCGATCATAAAGCAAAGTGATGATGAAGAGTATTCCTGAGAGTCTTCTGCTGGGGCATCCTTCATTATATTTGCCAACTTCTTCCAGCCTATTGGCTAGGATACGAAGATGGTCCTTTACCTTAAAGACCAGAAAGAGTATTTGGAAGAGTACTAGTTCAAAGAAGTGGTGAAAGCAGTTGCTATTCGCAGGATATCTTGTTACCTTTTATTTGGAGAAAATTTGGGAGAAGGAAATCTGTGATGACAAGGCCGAAGAAGAAAAAGATGTCAAAGAAGAGGAAGTTAAGGATGGTAAGGCAAAGCCCACATTAAAGATGTGGGCTCAGATGAGGAAGATGACAGTGGGAAAGGATCAGTACAGGATAACAGAGAGGAGTAAGGAGAAATACATCGATCAGGAAAAACTGAATAATACTAAGCCCATTTGGGTGGGAAACCATGATGACATCATTCAGGAGTGCGAAGATTTCTGCAAGAGCCTTATCACTGAGTGGGAAAACCAGCTGGCAGTCAGGCACTTTTCTGTAGAAGGTCAGTTGGAATTCAAGGTATTGCTTGCTAATCATCCCTTGGCAGGCTCTGTTTGACTTCAGAACAAGAAGAACATCAGACGCCATCTATTGTGTTCATCATGAACAGTAGTGAATTGATACTGTATTTCAGCTGTGATGAATTGATGTCATCATATTTCAGCTTCATCCTTAGTATGGGTGATTCTGAGGACCTGGTCCTGAATATCTCCCACAATGCTCCACCAGAGCACAATCATTCATGGAAGTTACTTGCCAAAATTCTTAGGAAGTACCTTGAACTCTTTGAGCTGACAGAATATAAAGAGAAGTACAAGAAATTCTATGAGGTATTTTCTGCAAAATCTAAAACTTGTAATCCTGGACAGTTCCGATAACTGCAATACCTTTATGATTTGCTGTGCTGTCATGCCTTTCAATCTAGAGGTAAGATGATTCTTATGTCACAGTATGTCTCTGTATGAGTTGCAGAAGTCCATCTGTTACATCACCAGCAATAACAAAAACCGTGTGACTCTTTTGAGGACCAACTACAAAAGTGGTACTTTGAGATGGTATATATGACTGGGCCTGTTGGTAAGTCCTGTGTTGGGCAGCTCCCGGAGTTTGATGGAGAGAAACCAGTGTTGGTTAGCCAGGAAGGTTAGCCCATAACCAAAGATGAGAATGAGAAGAAAACAGAGGAAAGCAACAGGAAATTTGAAAACCTCTACAAGCTCATGAAAGCAAGCAAAAATAAGATTGACAATCTTCTACATGCTTGTGTCTTCACCCTCCTGCGTTACAACAAACATATATGCGTTGACAGCCAACATAGAGTGGCATTTAGAGAAAACTCTACAGTGGGCTGTCTGATGACCAAAAAAAATACCTTCAAACCAGCTTGACCACCTGACTGACGGACATCGTAAAATTTGCTTGACCAAATTGGAGAAGAGTTAAACTGCTGAGTAATTGTGTGTATTAGGTACAACTAATTATTATAAGTGGATGACATATAAATAATACTAATAACATAACCTAAAGGAATATCCTTTGCTTAATATAGAGATAAATATATAAACATCCATTTTATTATACTATTACTTCAAAGTAAAAATTTACAAGTGACTTGATATTAATAATTCAATAAGAGTAAACCTGCATTCTGATAGTTTTCACTAGAAAACTATCAGTAGTAATGTGTTACCTTAAAAGTTTTTTCTTTCTTCTTTTTTTTGTGTGTGTGATTTTGTTTTTCAGAAATAATCCAACTGTGATAAAGAACTCTGTATATGTAATTAGCTTGCTTGCTTTGTCCCTCCTGTGCTCCCTCCCTGTCTCTCTCTCCTTGCCTTCTTTTCTTAGCAAGGGATTGAACCTAGGGCCTTGCACATACTAGATAAGTCTCCACTACTGAGCTATGTCCCCAAGATTGTCACTTTTTAAAGTATTAAGGCTTCCATAGATCTGATCCTAATTCTGTATTCCATCTTACATACTTTTACAGTAACAGTTTCATTACCTTAGGTTTTGTTAACATAGAACTGTAATAATTAAGATATGAGCAGGTTGGAATTGGTTTTTGTACTAATTAGTGGAAAAGAAGGAATTATTAAGTGGATTAATTGATCTGAAATTAATTTCCTACTAGATAAACCTGTAGACATATTCCGTCATCCATCTTTCTCTTACTATAAGGTATTATAGAGACAAGTAGTGATATGTTAAACCTCCCTGGTCTGTCAGAGTTGGCATGAATATCAGTAGTATTCTCACCAGAGGAGGAAGTTGTTGAGGCAGTGTTATGCTCCTCTTCCTGTCCCTTATTTTCACTTAGCTTGTTTACCAACCTCTTAAGAAAATTATGGCAGTAAATAGTTTTATTTGAAAATGAATAGGGCTTACTTCAAACAGCTGTTTAAATGATGTTGAGAAAGCATTTCATAGAAGAGAATTTGGTAACTTGAGATTTAGAGTTACCTTTCTGAAGACCAAATGGAAACTGCATTTAGAACTTTAATTTACTTCTGTGAAAACCTGTAGGATATTGTCTTTTGCATTAAAAGCACTTGTGTTTGAGGAATGATTAACATTTGAAATGATGGTAATATTCTTTTTAGATACTTGTTATATTTAATTACTGTATTTTTGTCAATAGAACATTTTTCCTAGATATAAAAGATACAAGCACATTTAGTAGAAATAATATTGTTAGGTAAATAAAGTTCTAAGATCATAATATATCAGAAAATTGTTTTTATACAGGTAAATGGTTGCAGTTTTTTGGTGAAAACAGGAAAGCCTACAAATTTATTGAGGGTACAGTATTTAAAACTATTCATAATACTAATGTTTTTTACTATTTAAGACCAGGCTTACTAACAGATTTTTTCCTGCATGTACTTCTTTTTTCTGTGTAATTTTTCAGTGCTTTCAATGTTTAATAAGTTAGCCACTTTTTATGTAACACTCAAAGCAAAATTTTCAGATACCCTGTGTATGCTTTTAAAAAGGTACATACCGGATGTACAGCAAAGTATGTTGCCATAGCAGCAAATTTCCTGGAGATGAGTGATGTTTTAAAGTGGATTTTGCTGTGGAATTTAGTATTTGAATTCTTTTTTCTGAGAAGTGTTGCTAGTCCTGAATTATTTAAAACTTTGAATTGATACAGGAAGAAGAATTCGGTGTTGATGATTCTTACTCTGAACAAAGTGCACAGTATAGTCAGACCCATCTAGAGATGATGGAAAATGAATTGGCTGGGAAACAACATGAGATTGAAGAGCTAAACAGAGAACTAGAAGAAATGAGGGCTGCTTATGGGACTGAAGGACTACAGCAGGTACTTTCTATGGCTTTTGGCTTGCTACTCACAAAAGGAAAAATGGGAAATTTGAATGATAGTATCTATATATGCTTTAAAAGATGGGGTTTCTAAATGGTTACTAAAGGTTACCTCTTAATTTTTTGGTTTACAAAAATCGATGTATTTCCTTCATTTAACTTGGTATGTTAGCTACAGTGAAATTACTTCATGAGGACAGATGTTTTTCTATTCAGCCTGAAAGAAAATTATAGTGTACATAAAAAATTGGCTTAAACTCAGTAAAAATGTGAATGATCCCTTCTAATAGTATCTGTAGTTAGAATAACATCTGATATCTAGAATGATCAGTTATGAAGCCAGATAAAATGGGACATTGATTAGGATGAACAGTATATTTCTATTTCATCCTTTTCAGAAACAAGTTGGAATTAACTTGTCTGCTGGTACTGACTCGGTACAGATAAGGGGCACACCACAATATGAAGACTCTTGTTCTGAAAATAGTTGTATGGAAAAAACCAGATCCAATGGATCTTTTTTATCCCAGTGCAAATAAATCTTTTCAAAGATGGTTTGGCAGCAGAGCCAATTTCTAAAAGATAATAGCTTTCAAATATGGAAGGTTGCTTAGAGATTGTGAAAATTCTGCGAATGTGTTTAAAATCTCATGTTTTTGAAGAATGGTTTCCTGTGATACTAATTCTATTTTTTAAAAAAGCCTAGCACTTAATTGTCTTCCTGATTTCCTTTAGTTACAAGAGTTTGAAGCTGCTATTAAACAAAGAGATGGCATCATAACCCAGCTTACTGCTAATTTACAGCAAGCAAGAAGAGAAAAGGATGAGACAATGAGAGAGTTTTTAGAGTTGACAGAGCAGAGTCAAAAGTTACAGATTCAATTCCAGCATGTAAGTATTTCTATTGGTCTGGTCTGGTGTGGTCTGGTCTGGTCTTGTCTGTCTTTCTTTCTTTCTCTCTTTCTTTTTCTTTTTTTGGTGATGAATTTAAAATTTTTACTTTTTAGAACAAACCTAAGTATGTTACAAAACTGCTCATTATATTACCCTGGAAAAACTAATTAATATCAGTACTCCCTGGTTAGTTTCTTGCTGCTATTCTCTTTGTACTACTTTTTGCCTGTCTCTTCTGAAATTTTCAAAGTCTTATCAGGTAGATTGAGTACATTTTTTGCACACCACCTGTACTGACCCCAACAAGGTTTTATTTTACTAAGATGATAATTGATTATTTTCTATTTATGTTTAAAGTCAAACAGAAATCCAGTTGCATTAGTCAGGGATTCTGACAGCAGTAACAGAAAACAATTTAAAATCATTTAAGCAAAAGGGAGAAATGTAAGGATATAGTTTTATGTAATTCAAGGACAGAATTATAAGCTAGCCTCTGTAAGGGATTCGAATGAGAGTCTAGAAAGTCATCAGGAATGCAGGAAGTGCTGTCTTTGAGGCCTCACTTCTCCCCATTGTGTCGTCTCAGCCTTACTTCTCTTACTAGATACACTTCCTCTATGTTAAGTGGAAGCTACTTTTTTCCTGGCTTGAGTTACTCAGCCATGGCAGCATGTTTGCTAAGATTTCAAACCTGTGAAGTAAGCACAGTTCCCTGATAGCCACCAGTCTGAGCTGAGTAATGCTCTAAAAGATACTCATTCTCTAGTCTCTTGAAAAATTGTTATCTTGAGGTTTCTATTTTCAAGTTACAGGCTAGTGAAACTCTGAGAAACAGCACTCATAGTAGCACAGCTGCAGATTTACTGCAAGCCAAACAGCAGATCCTGACTCATCAGCAGCAACTAGAAGAACAAGATCATCTATTAGAAGATTACCAGAAGAAGAAAGAAGACTTCAAAATGCAAATTAATGTCTTGCAAGAAAAAATTAAAGTATATGAAATGGTATGTTTATTTTAAAGAAGAAAACAAACTTGCAGCAGCTTTTAACTTTAAAGGTTTTATATGGGTGCTGATCCTTTTACTTATGTGAATCACAAAATTTCATAGTACTAACTTTTTAAGTGTAATTTATTTCAAAAGCAACTAAAAATTTCACCTAATACAGTTTTTAAGATAACCCTACTCATTACTATATTTCTTAAAAGTGATCATCATGTTAAACTGAATTTTATTATATAATTAGAATTTCTGTCCTTTTTCCCCTATGTAAAAACATTTTGATTATCAAATTCTAAAATCATAATTATGAAATACTAAAATTTTACGGATTTTTATTAGAAATATAAATTCAGCTTATTCTCTATTAAGTTATGTTCTACTTTTGGGGAATTTATCATAGGTTGGGAAATATATAACCCATATATTATAATCTTAAGTTCTAAGCAACTCATCCTGTAGATTGTATTTTGTTTCTCAACAGAGAAGTTGAACTTCAGAAGTCATTTGCCTGGGGCTGTCACACTAACAGTTACCAGAGTTAGTATTTAAACCGTGTCCAACTGGCCCAGGGCCAGAGCTTCTTGCCCTCTTCCTTCTCCATCTTGTGGTCCTTTCCCTATGGGAGCTGAAACAAAGCAGGGTCTGATCACTTTGTTTGACCTCAGCTGAAAACATATGTGTACAGCAACTCAAATTGTTTGCCATTATGTATATATCTGTATGTGACTGAAAGCACTGTTACTATTTGAGGATTCCAAATTCTAAGAAGTAAGCAAATTTGTAAATATGAAGCTATATAATGAAGATGTATAGTACATACTGCCTTACAGAGGAGCCATCAAGCAAGAGAATAGTGAAGGCAGGTAAAGGCCAGGGTAGACTGATTGGGGCAGGTATTTTTGATCTCTAGTTTTCAAGGCTGATTATTTTCCAACTAGGTCTTATTTTCAGGGAAACAGTATCATTATCTCCATTTTACAAGAGGACATAAATTCAAAGCAAGTGGTAAAAAATTGTGTTAGGTACACAACATAATTGTGTTAGGTGAGTTTATAGAGCCAGATTTTAAACCTCAGCTGACTACTAGAGACGCTCTTTGAAAAATAGGAACTATACAAATTGAAGACATGGAAATTATGAAAAGGGCAAATTTTACAGCAAAGGCTGATGGCATCTCAGTCATCTTCCTTATGCTACACCTGAATGAACACCACCAACATTTCTCTCAGACTTCACTTTCTAGATTTTGATATTATTTCTTTAGATGTGTTAAACGTTACTTCAAGTGACTACCAGTCCAATTTGCCAAAGACTTCAGGTTCCTCAATGTCATTTCTTTTATCTACTTATGTTCTGATCAGTTTTCTAGGTTTTCTTTCTTTCTTTGTCTTTGGGACTACAGCCCTTAACTACTTAGAAGTGCATCTAAGTAACAGAGCCAAAACCTTGATCCTAGGCTTCTGTTGAAATAATTATAATAATGAACATGCCTTGGCATGTCTGGGCTTAGCTTTATGTATAGTTCCAAAATTGATTCCCAAAATAGAAACTGGAAAAAAGTAATCCTCTGCTCTTCAATTTTGATTCGATCTAAAAGAGTGGAGTTGATATGCCATCGACGCTGTAGTTGTCTTGGGTGTTGCTTGAAGTTTAAACTCTTACACACTTCATATCTCTAAATTTCTGACTGATTTAAGAGCCCAGGAATAAAATTAAGGCAGACTCAGAAGAATCTGGTGGGGTTTTTTTGTGTTTTGTGTTTTGGTTTTTTTGCTATTTTTTTTTTTTCTCATTTCATCACACTTGCCTGTGAGACAGCCATTACATTACAAGAATTTATGGAAGGAACCTTGATTTATTTTTTGCTTTCATTTCAAAGTGTCTAGAGCATATGCAGTTCTATAACTCAGAAACACTACAGTTACAATAGTGGTCAGTTAATAGGAAAAAATGAAAATACAGTGGTTAGATATATTTTAATTAGTGTGGATTTTTTTTGTGTCTGTGTGATATATGTGTTTTGGTTTGCAGAAAGTTAAGCAGTAGAAGTAGCCAGAAGCTAAAAATGTCATATTTATATTTTCTTTCTTTCTTTAAAGGAGCAAGATAAAAAAGTAGAAAATGCAAATAAAAAGGAAATACAGGAAAAACAGGCAATCATTGAAGCATTAAGTGCAAAAGTAATAGAAGAAGAAAGAAAAACTCTTGAGCTAAAGGATAAAATAACAGCTACTGATAAATTAGTAGGAGAATTACAAGAACAGGTTGTACAAAAGAATCAAGAGATAAAAAATATAAAATTAGAGTTGACTAATTCTAAACAAAAAGAAAGACAATGTTCTGAAGAAATAAAACAGTTAATGGGGACAGTTGAAGAACTTCAGAAGAGAAATCATAAAGATAGCCAATTTGAAATTGATACCATGCAAAGAATGGAACAAGAAACACAAAGAAAGTTAGAACAACTCCGAGCAGAGCTAGATGAGATGTATGGGCAGCAGATAGTTCAGATGAAACAAGAATTAATAAAACAACATATGTCACAGATAGAGGAACTTAAAACACGACAAAAGGGAGAAATGGAGACTGCTTTAAAATCATATTCAAATATTACAATTAATGAAGATCAAGTAAAGTTAATGAATGTGGCAATAAATGAACTGAATATAAAACTACAAGATAGTAACTCTCAAAAGGAAAAACTCAAGGAAGAACTAGGAGTAGTTTCAGGAGAAAAGTCTGCTTTGCAGGGACAGCTTGAAGATCTTTTTGAAGAATTGAGCTTTTTAAGGGATCAGATTCAAAGAGCTAGACAGACAATAGCTGAACAGGAAAGCAAACTCAATGAAGCACATAGGTCTCTTAGTACAGTGGAAGATTTGAAAGCTGAGATTATTTCTGCATCTGAATCCAGGAAGGAACTAGAGTTAAAACATGAAGCTGAAGTTACAAATTATAAGATAAAACTTGAAATGTTAGAAAAAGAAAAGAATGCTGTGTTAGACAGAATGGCTGAATCACAAGAAGCTGAATTAGAGAGGCTGAGAACACAGCTCCTGTTTAGTCATGAAGAAGAACTTTCTAAACTAAAGGAAGATTTAGAAATTGAACATAGAATAAATACTGAAAAACTTAAAGATAACTTAGGCATTCACTATAAACAGCAAATAGATGACTTACAGAATGAAATGAGTCAAAAGATAGAGTCAATGCAGTTTGAAAAAGACAGTTTGATAACTAAACAGAATCAGTTAATTTTGGAAATTTCAAAGCTAAAAGAGCTACAGCAGTCCCTTGTGAATTCAAAGTCAGAAGAAATGACTCTTCAAATCAATGAACTTCAAAAAGAAATTGAAATACTCAGACAAGAAGAAAATGAAAAGGGTACTCTTGAACAAGAAGTTCAAGAATTACAACTTAAAACCGAATTGTTGGAGAAACAAATGAAAGAAAAAGAGGATGATCTTCAAGAAAAATTTGCACAACTTGAAGCAGAGAATAACATTCTGAAAGATGAGAAGAAAGCTCTTGAGGATATGTTGAAAACTTATACTCCCACTGACCAAGAAGAAAGATTGATTTTTATAGACTCCACTAAGTCTAAATCCAAGGACTATAACTGGCAAAAAGAAATAGAAATACTTACAGAGGAGAACAAGAACTTCAGACAACAGTGTATTCAGCTAAGTGAAGAGATTGAAAAGCAAAGGAATATTTTCTCATTTGCTGAAAAAAACTTTGAAGTTAACTATCAGGAGTTACAAGAAGAATATGCTTGTCTTCTCAAGGTAAAAGATGATTTAGAAGATTGTAAAAATAAGCAAGAATTAGAGTATGAAAGTAAACTTAAAGCGCTTAATGAAAAACTTCATTTGCAGAGAGTAAATCCGCCTATGGTCAAAGTCAAAAGTTACATCTTTGATGATGAGCCATTGGAAATGGGTGAGGTTGTTGAGAAAGATACAACAGAACTTATGGAGAAACTTGAGGTAACCAAGCGAGAAAAATTAGAACTGACAAAAAAACTGTCAACTCTCTCTGAACAATTAAAAAAGAAACATAGTGAAGTTACTATTCTTAGCGAGGAAGTTAAATCTCTAAAGCATGAGAAAGAGCAAGTTTTACTGAGATGTAGAGAGCTAGAGATCATAGTTAACCATAATAGGGCAGAAAATGTAAATGAATGTGATGTTGAATTAAGTTCTTTAAAAGATGGAGTTATGACGAGGATAGGCAAGGATTTTGGAGGATCTGGTTTTGAAATGAAAGATTTTGGCAAAGAATCAAAAATAGTGTTGAAGAATAAAAGTCCTTATGAAATTATGACTATTAGAAAAGAAAGCAAGCAAGATCAATTGTTTTCATCACCAGTAACAAATGAAACATTGCCTGAGGCATCTGAACCAAGTGAAAATGACAAATTCCAGCACGAGCTTCATGTACTTAGAGCAGAACAGGTATGTTTACTTGTCTGTACATGATAAAGCACATTAAAAATGTACTTTTCATTAAAAATGTACTTTCATCTTTTACCTCATTTTCATAAAAGATGAGTTCACATCATTGAAGAGAATAAAAGTTAAAGTTTTCATTCAGTTCTTATTTGAGTTTTATGTACTGTTTAACAGTCTTTCCTTAAATGTTTCCTCTCTTAGTTTTCTGTTTTGTGTTCAGCTCAAGAAGTAAAAAGTACTTAATGAAAATCAAAGGAATACTTTCTCATTTGCTGAAAAAAACTTTGAAGTAGTAATGTGTTTGCGTAGAATTTCAGCTTTAAAGAAATTAGTAGTTTATAATGTTGTGTTTTGTTGTAGTCACAAAGTTTTAATTTTATATTGGTCTTTTTAAGGTTCTACATTGTAAATTAATTGTTAAGCTTTTTAGCATTCCGTATAGTTGTTCAGTAATTATGATAGTATGTTTCTCATGGAGGAAGAAAACCTTATGTCCTGCAGATTTCTAGATCTTTTTATACCTGAAGGGAAAAAGTATTAATACCTAGAATTGTTTTCAAAACTAATAGGTGTTAATTACTCCTGAAAGTGTCAGACATTTTAAAAATTTTATTAAAAAGCATTATTGGGAGAGGAACTGAACTTGAAGCTCGACTATCAAAAGGTCAAATTTTCTTAGTAAGAATTTTATTTTTCTCTACTAAAGATACTTTGAATGACTTGTCCAGCTATGCTCTGCTGGCCCATGAATAAGTTTGTTCAGGGAGAACGTTCATAGGTCAATTCATTCATAATCCAACAAAATGAGTCTTTTACAGTACAGTTGTGACTTTTATAGCTGTAAAAATTCAAATATTCCTAACTGGACATACTGTATTATGAGAAACAAACCTGTCCCTGCCCCACTCTTCATTACCAAAACAAATCTCCTTATCAGTGAAGCAGTGAGTGAGGTTGTGTGTGCAAAAGAAGAAATTGGGCAGTGACTTACACAAAGGTAATACTGAGAATAGCCTAACTATGCTTGGAATGATACAGAGACCACAAAACAAACAAAAAAATGAAAACAAAATTTGCTCTTACTACTAATGCAAGCAGTGTCTTTCATTGAGAGCAACATAAATGTGGCTGCTAAAAGTTGTTTTGTTTTTTTTTTAACTGAAAAGAAACAGTGTTTTATTACAATTCCAGATTATTTTAATACACTTAGGAAGTTTGGGCAGGAGGAGAAAAATAATAATCAGTCTTATCAGTGATTGGGATGTGAGGAGGAGGGTTGAATTGCAGGAATGTTGTGGATACTGATTAACTGTTAATGTACTGTTAATGTTTAAAATTGAAGATAATTCAGGGAATTGAAAGAGATACTGGAGTATTACAAAGGAAATTTACAGCAGGGACCTTGCAGTGTCTAAAATAATATCTGACACATAGTAGGCAGTTAGTAATATTTGTGAATGAACGAGTGAATACAAGGAGCAATAAAGCCCATTTAGTAACTGAACTATGAAATAACAGGCCTTCATGTTAGGGAGAAAATCAGAATAGCCTTTGTTATTTGTTGTTTATCGTTGTTCAGAATCCTGACCATTGCAGAGACAGAAAGATATGTGTCATAAATGGAGGAAAAGATAGTTCATTATCAAAACTCACAGATATAACTAGATAAGAAATTAAGAAAATTAAGTAAATAACTAAAAAACTTTAATAAAGTAAAAATAAACTTAGCAAAATATGTAAAATCAATATAAATAAAATTGTAATAAAGGACATGAGTTTTGAATAACAGAGAAATTAATACTGTAAAGTACCAGTTAATTTCTTAATCCACAAGCCTTTTATAATTCCACTCAATGAAGTTACTGAAATTTGACTTGTTTTACGGTTAATCTAGATGAATAAATGGGTAATACCCAATAATATTTTTGAAAAAAGCAGAATGTATATAAAATGGCATATAGAATGACATTTTTGTCTTAATTATGCAAATTTGATAAATACTGATTATGAATTAAACTATAATTCAAGACAAGAGAACAGTGTCAGACTATCTACATTCAAAGAAAGTAGAAGGAAAAATACAATAAAGTGAAGAGCAGAAGTAAGAGAACTTGAAATAACCAAAAGAAGAAGAATTTTGAAGATTTATTATCTGAAAAGATTAACAAGTCTGATCACAGCTTCAGGACTATGTTGAAAGGGGGAAAAACACAATGAAATGAAGAATAAAAATAAAGGTACTTCAGAGATTTTCAAAAATCGTAAAAAAGTAATGTAAGTAAGTTGCCAATGAATTTGAAAATACAGATACATTAGATGATATTTTGGTAGAGTATAAATTACCGAAACTTAAGGGGTTGAAATAGTAATCAGAAGTTTTCTTTTTCCCCCTCTAATAAAACATGCTAGGCTAATCAGCTCTCAAGGAACAAATGTATCAGCTCTCAAGGAACAAATGAATAATTGCCTGCTAAAACTGGATTAAAGAGAGGAGGAAGGAGCAGGAGGGGAAAAAGAAAACCCAACTATTTCATTGTAAGACCCAGATATTGATATGAAGACTTGTTAATAAGTGTGGTACAAGAAAATACAGAATCTTAGGGCTGGGGATTTAGCTCAGCGGCATAAGCACCTGCCTTGGAAGCAGGCAGTCGTGAGTTCAATCTCTGGTACCAATAAAAAGAAAAAAAAAGAAATTACAGAATCTCACTTATCAGTGTCTTAAAAAAATCAACTAATGTAATCTCTACATTTGTACATTGTAGGACTAAATCCATATGATTATTTTAATATAGTATATTCTGGAAAAGAATCCATAAAAAATTTAACTCATTTATAATTTTAAAAAAGCTAGGAAATCAGGAATGGATGGAGAATCTCCTAATTATGAGATGGCTTTTATTAAAACATTTAGCAAATAACATTTCTAATGATGAAATTTACAAGAATTCCCAGTAAAACCAAGGGTAAGGAGTAAGCTAACCACTGTCAGCATTACTATTTCAACATTGTTTTGTAGTTCTTAGCCAATATAGGAAAAGAAATGAGAAAAATAGATTCCTAGTATCTTGAACTTTAATTAAGAAAATTAGAAAACATTGAAGGACACAAACACCTAGCAGTGTAGGAATATTTATAATATATGTAGTGGAGAGAGGGAAAAAATGCCAGTCCTCGCCACGTTTATTTCTATATTCAGTGTATTTCAAAATTTCATGAATGTCTTTCATGGATCTTGAAAATTTTATTTTAAAATTGACATAGAATAAACAACCAAGAATAGTCAAAACAGTCCCTAGAAATATGTATTCTATGTGATATCAAGATTTAATACAAAATCATAGACAATATAATTTGATGCTATGATAAAGATATCAGTGGATCATGGAGAGTAAAAGCATATCCATATTCTTATAAAATTTTGGTATGTGGCATAGGACCCCTACAAATCAGAATTTATTAAATAGTATCAAGAAGGTATAAAGAACAGTTAATATAAGTAAAGTTAAAAATGGACAAAAGATATGGATAAATGTGACTTGGAGTAAAAAAATCAAACTGGCTCATAGGTGTGGAAAGATACTTTGAACCTTACTAATGAATACAATAATAGTATTTTAAACTATTGTATTAAATAGTATTTATTTATTTAATTTAATTAAAATAGTATTTATTTTATTAATAGTATTTTAAAAATTATAGAGAGCAATTTAAATGTATAATTATGTAAGAACATAATTTGGTAAAATCGAATACAGGTAAACCTGTGCAGTAACTATGACCTAGCAGTTAAATTTCTAGGTGATCCTCAAAGTATCATCCCTGACCCGTGTAGTCAGCATCACTTGGACACAGGTTAGAATTCATGTTTGTGGCCCCATTCTAGACCTGCATAAGAGCTCAGGTGGTATGCAGTAGTTTGTAAACATTCCACATAATTCTCATGCATGCTAAATTTGAAATCCGCTAGACTTGAGAAACACTAGCATATTTGTTTAGTGATGTATATGTAAGAATTTTTAGCAGTATATTCTGAAATATCCAAAAATTAGAAATAATCTAGTTCACCTCTAGAAAGAAAAGCACAAAATATGGTATATTCATATACCAAACCAGTTAAATTTACCCATTATGTACATGGTTTGATATGAGAGGCATATTGAGTGAGAAGATAAATTTACAAAATAAATGTCATTTTGAACTGTTGTTGTAAATCTATATAAATATATAATATAGCAGCCTGTTTACAGGTATACTGAGATGTGACAGTGTAAGAAGTAGATTGATTTGTGCTTATGGTTGCCTTTGTGGAGAGAGTAATAGGAACATAGTGCATTGAATTTTATTTATAATATTTTCTTTCTTAACCAAAAAAGAAATGTAGAAGGAGCAAGGGAATTGGGGGGGGGGGGTAAGGACCAAACGTTGGTATATGTTAACTTGAGTTGGGTGTACATAAGTGCTTTTTGTATTTATCTGCATTTAATACTATCTTAAAACCAAACTGAGAGATAAATTATACTAAGCTATGATAGTTTGACACCAAATATCGAAATGTACTATAAAATTTAGGTAATGAAAATACTGTACTACTTCTTTGACAAAGACTGCTAGATCAATGCAACTGGATGAAGAATGAGGAAAGTTAGATTTTGGTTCTCTTATGAATTTTTAAACTAATTTAGTATGTTTCTCTCTTGTAGTCTGCAAATAAACTGAAGTTACATTTTTTTTATTTTAAAAATTGCTAATTTTATATACATTCATTTTTAGAATGACTTAAGGCTACAGATGGAAGCTCAACGCATATGCCTCTCCCTAGTTTATTCCACTCATGTGGATCAAGTTCGTGAACATATGGAAAATGAAAAAGATAAAGCTCTTTGCAGTCTTAAAGAGGAGCTTATTTCTGTTCAAGAGGAAAAGATCAAAGAACTTCAGAAAACACATGAGTTAGAGCTACAAAACATAAAAACACAGGAAACAGGTAAGTGGTTTCTGACTTAAATCCCGTAAAGCAAATAAGTATCAGGTAGAGCTCACTATTTTACAATTTTACTCACTTTGAGAGGAAAACAAAACATCAGGAGAATACAGCATATAAAAAGCATAAATTTCTGAATTTTATTTTTGTGGTGCTGAGGGTTTTTGGTATGCTTAGAACCCATAGAGGAAGATGACTTGTATATTTGAGTCTAGGACAATTATTAGACATTTAAGTGCTTGAGAAAAGTAAAATTATGGGGATCATGTATTCCCATAAGAAGTCCTGATCCATTGGCAAAAGCATATATAAAGTAAACTTACAATTTCTGAAATACAAAAATGAGTAGAATGGAAAGGAATGTTTTCTGGGAGGATGAAATGGGAGGAAGCTATGGACAGTAGTTGGGTTGGAACTTTAAGGAAGACTCTGAAGTAATAAGCATTAAATTGTAAGAGTGCATTCATTTTGAAGAATTGAATGGTCAGATCATTTGAGAAAATAGAGGCAGTAAGACTGACAAGAGTTTGATCAGAAAGAGCCCCATATATTCTAAGTGAGCACCTACTGCAGGACTTTTTTCCTGGGGTTTGTCTTTTTGAGATAGGGTCTCACTGTTCAGGCTGGTCTTGAGCTCACTTTGTAGCGCGGGCTGGAATCGAACTTACAGTGATCCTCTTGCCTCAGCCTCCTGAGTGTTGGGATTACAGGTGTACATCACCATACCTGGCTGTTTTGTTTTTGAGATAGGATCTTGCTGTGTGGCTCAGGCTAGCCTTACTGAACTCTGTGTAGTCCTAGATTGCCTCCTTGTGGCAATCTTCCTGCTGCAGCCTCCCGAGTATTGGGATTATAGGTGTGAGCCATTACATTTGGCTATAGGATTTTAAATGGTGGAAGTAACAGTATTTTTAATTTAAAATTATACCCAAGGGATAAATTGAATGAGGTGATCTTACTGGTGGGAAGACCCGATGAGCAACATTGGCAGTAATTCTGATAAACAATAAGATAATTTAGTATCTTACTGGATTTTGGGTTTCAGTTTGGGCTCTTCTTTCTGAAAGGTTCACCATAACTGATCCATTATACTAGGTTAAACACAGTAACAGTACTCGGACATGTAAATCAGATACACTAAAGCGTCATCTCCTCTGTTAGGTAGTGAAGCAAAGCCTTTGCACAGGCTCATTGGGAGGCTGCAAAAGGCGGTGTCTGAGGAATGTTCTGATGTGTCAAAGGTAAGATACTAAAAGTTAAATAGTTTTGGACAAGAGGTGCTAAATTTTAAGTTGGTTAGTAATTTGTTGAGCAAAACCATCCAGTTCAGTTTTCCTATCATCTAAAACTGCACTTAGAAAGTATCCCTGGGGGAGGGGGGTTGTTTATGCATGTGGGTTGGTAGGTGTTGGGGATTGAACTCAGGTACCACCCATGCTAGGTAAGTGCTCTACCACCAAGCTAAGGATTTAGCCTTTGTGTTTGAGCTTACAATGGGCATTTAAAATTTTCATGATAGTTCATAGCAATAAGAAAAAAATTCAGGGCTTGGAGGATGGCTCAGTAATAGATTATTTGGCTGCTATACATGAAGCCCTGAGTTTGATCACCAGCACAGCAAGGGAAGAAAGGAAAAGAAATTTGGGTGAATTATCTCACGAGTAGAACAGACCCTAATCGTTGAGGTAGCCATGAAGGAGCTGCTTAATCTCTCTGGGTCTTAGTTTTTATGTCTGTAAATTAAATGTTTCTAAAACCAGTGTTTCTAAAACTCCATCTTAGGGGCTATACTGAAAATTTAGTAAACTTAATTACTAAAAATATAATTTGTTAAGTAAATTTCAAGAAACCACAGTGGCAGCAATAATAACTTTGTTTAAAATCCAAACGTTACTGTTATTTTCAATTGTGTGAGGATCAAAGGTAAAATTTATTTGGAGGACTTAGCAGATGATTATGGGGAATGAGTTATTTTGTTGGCTGAGAACAATCAGAACAATGTGTCAGATGGTTTTAGATTTTTTTCTTTTTGTCTGTATAAACCACAGAAAATGTGCTCATATGCTTTAGAAAGGTGTATGGAAATAGTTTCCTTGATATAATACCTCTAGAACCTAATGTTTTTCCTAATTATCTTTTCTGGACTTCTATCCTTGTCCTGTAATGGTTTTCAAAGATAGTTGATGTAGTGAAATGTATTAAGGATACAGAGATAACGTTGAGATAGGACTTCACTAGAAAGTGACAGAATAAAGTGCAGATATATTAGGAAAAAATAGAAGAAAGTTACAATTTGCTCTTTGATTTTTTTCTTTTGGTACTGGGAATTCAACTCAGGACCTTGCCCTTGCCAGGCAGCACTTCCGCTGCTGAGCTATAACCCCAGCCCAAAAATTACAGTTTGTGTAATGAAGATTATCAACATTTTTCTCATGTAAGAATGATTTCAAGTCACAAGTAAATATTTAGACTCAATTTTTTTCCCCAGCACATTGGTTCAGTACAGTGATGGTAAACCTTTAACACATTTATGTTTTTTAAGACAAAAGATGTTAATATGTGACTTTTCTAAACTAAAACCTCAGTAGTCAGATTTAATTGCAGGGTTGGCACTTTGCAATAAATAAGTGGGTTTTGAGTTTACAGTTTGGGCATTCATCTCTAAAAGGTTCACTGTCACTGGGTTAGTATGTAGAAGAGTAAGATCTAATTTTTCTGTGAAATTTTGACCACTTGTTGCATCTATGAAAATAATGTTTAATGATGTTTAGAGTGAGAGATCAAAAGTTTAATTTCTTGAAATACCCAATTTTGCTGTTAACAGGCTTTATGCAATGTCTTTCGTGAATATTATGCTCCTACTTTAAAATGTGAAGTCAATATGGAAGAGAGAGAAAATTCTGGGGTTTACCCTTCTGAATATCAAGAACCAGAATTCCAAAATTATATTTACAAAGTTGAAGGTAATGAACACTTAACCACACTACTGAATAGTACTTAATTTTCTGAAATGAATTGTTGATAAATTTTACTTTTAATCATGATTTATTCAGCCAAGTTGTTTATCATCTTAATATCTTGTCCTCTTTTCAGATTCATGAAATCTTCTATTTAATATACAATTTTAATTTTTATAATCAAAATTATGTTTGGGAAATAACTGAAGCTGTATGTTTCCTTGTCTATCTTCTGTTCCTGTACTAATACCTTTTTTCTCATTCTAATTTTTTCCTTCAATTTTTTCCTTTAACTTTTTAATACTGTCATGCCTATTCTTTAAAAGTTATTGTAGTTTTTTTAATAAGTTCATCTCAATGGTATATCATTTTAAAACTAAGAATAAAAGGATATATTAAGAAACTGCTTTTTAAATATAACTCTGGTACTCATTATTTTAACAAACTATAACCTTAACTAATTTTTGTACTTTCACAGATAAGAATATTTCTTCTTCCTACCCATTTGTATGAATCATGAACAAGCAGTACAAATTAATGGTTAATCAAAAAAATTAATGCATTTTTCAAATGAATTTTTCAGGTTAGCTTTGTAGCAGATGTTTCATATTCACATTTTTATTTTTGTTTACTACATATTTAAGGTTTATATCTAGTGTTTTCTTAAAGGTGTAAATAGATAGGTAATATTGATTGAAAGATATGCCCTTGTTACGAAGTAAAATTATTGTATTTGCTTATTTATCATTTAGACTTTCAAGAAAACATGCAAACCCTTCTCAGCAAAGTAACAGAAGAATACAACAAACTCTTGATACTCCAGACACAATTAAGCAAGGTCTGTGAAATGAAAGCATGTCATATAATATGTACCTCCTGTTTTGTAAGCTGCATTATCAACCAAGAATTTCTAAATTAAATGAACATGAAGATATGAAAGTAATGTATATGTATATACATTTCCTTACAGAAAGAAAGGGACTGGATCCCAGCATCTCCTTTAAGTTACACCTGCAATGACCTAGCTTCCTTCTATTATACTTCACCTCCTAAAAGTTCCTCCAACGTCTAAGTATGCCACAGCCTGGGTACCAGTGACCTTCTATTCACATGCCTTTGGAGGCATTCACTATCCAAACTATAGCAGCTGCTGTAGAGTCTTATTTTTAATTGGATATCCCTACTCAAAAGTCCTTTAGGAGCATCTCAATCAATGTACTAAAATTTAATTTTACCTAATACTAAGGGGGCTAACATAACAAGGTCATGAGTTTGAGGTCAGCATGGGATACTACATAGCAAGTTTAAAGTGTGTCTAGATTGTATAAAAAATATTGAGTTTATTGACTTAATTCTTTCCTTAAACCAGCTTCTCCTCAGTTCTAAAGAATGACATCCAACCAGAAATTTGAGGATTTTTTTTTTTTTTTGTCTTCTTCCTTTTTATCGGTACCGGGGATTGAACAAATTTGAGGATCTTAAAAATCTTCCCTGACCCCTAACTTTCCATTATGCACAAAGATACTCCAAAGGGAATTCAAAAGAAATGAAAGACATACCTTCAATATGAAAGACATACTCATTCAGTTATCCGGCCAGTACTTTACTTCCTAATTATATGTCAAGTTATACCATGAATGTAGCAGTATACAAAGAGAATGAAGTCACTAGACTGACTATTCATAAATGATTTTACATATAAACTAATTCAAGAAATGTGGCATATGTTTATAAAACAGTTGTCCAAGGCAACATTTACTGAATACTTAAAAAGAAATATAGATAAGTACATCTGAAATTAAGTAAGCAAGTTGATGAGTATAGGCTGAAATAATGTGTTAGAGGAAGTAGAATTTGAAATGAACCACAAAAGATGTGCTGCTTTAAATAAAGAAGGTAGAGGACAGCTGCAGTTCAGGTAGGAGAAGTGGTATGATCAGAGTCTTAAAGTGTAAGTGTATTCTGTTGGGATATATTACTGAAACAGTAATGGACCCTAAGATTAAAGAGGATAGACTATAACAATCTTTCAATTCTAGGCTGCACTTTTATCTTGTAAATAATTAACACCTGTTATCCTAGGGCAACTATTATAAAGTTGAACTTTTAGGAGAGCAAGTAGAAAAAAATGTAGGAAAACAGGAGGGATGTAGAAAAAAAGAGTGGTTTATAAGATAATTTAGGGAAAAATCTACAGAATTTTGTAGTTGATAACAGAAAAGAAAAAAAGCCAAAAAAATTTTTTATTACCTCCCTTCACAAAATTTGGGCCTTAAATGTTTACGGGTGGGTCACAAAGTATGGGACTTCTGGGAGGCAGTCTCCAAGACCACTCCAGATTCAGTGATTTTTCTAGGATTATAAGAATTAACATTGTAGCAGTAATCAGTGCCATTCATTCCTGCTGCCCCACAGCCCAGAGCAGACAAGACACTGTAGGTACCTGTCCTGGGATACTAACCCATCAAAGGATCAGACACAGGAATATAGGTTAGGCTGACACCTGGGAACTGGTGCTATTAGTTCAGGTGATAACCAGCCTTAATACCTCAGACTGCTGCTACACTCACTTTGAAAATCCCAGAACAGTGTTCTTACCATCTTTTGAGAGAGACAAATCAGCTGATTAGTAGGGCAAATTTCTTTCCAGGTCTACAGTAGGTATTCTTTCCACTCAGTGTTCAGTTGTATCCCAGTGAGCTTCCAGACAGCAATTCCAAAGTTTCCTCCAGAAATCTGCAGAAGAGTATAGCTTTGAAATTGAGGTCTATTAACGATCTTTATCCTGACTCCTTTGGTGATTGTAGAGGACTAGGTTCTCTGCTTTAAAACAGTATTGCTGATCAAAGCTGCATTTTCTATGGGAAAGTGTCACAGTTCTTCAAGATTATGCAGGCCTTATATTTTAGTAGCATAGAATCACAAATCAGCCCTATGCCTTCAAAAAAGGTACAGAAATTGAAGCAGCAAGAGTATTTAGAAGGCAGTGTTCTTTTACTAGGGATCTATATGCCAGTCATCATGTTTTGGCATTGCTGACACCTAAAAGGAAGAAAATTATAAAGATCAGAAATCAGTGAAATTGAGACCAAAAAATTACAAAGAATTGATGAACTAAAGAGCTGGTTCCTGAAAGAATGAACAAAATTAGCCATTCTTACAAAAAAAAAAAGAAAGGAAGGAAGGAAGGAAGAAAGAAATAAAAAAGAAACCACAATGGACATCACCACATTATTAGCTACTTCACAAACCTGTATACTCATACATTGGCGAATTCAGAACAAATGAATAGATTTCTAGATACATATGAATTAGAACAATCAAGAAGGTTTAAAAAACCTGAGTAATACGAATAACAGGCAGTGAAATTGAGACAGTAATAAAAAATCTACCAGCTAAGAAAAACCGAGGTCCTAATAGGTTAGCCGTTAAATTCTACAGGAACTTCAAGAAAGATTTAACTCTGATAACATCGAATTTGTTAATGAAATCAAAATAGATGAAATACTTCCAAAATCACTCTTGGAAACTAGTGTTACCCTGGTTCCAAAACCAGAAAAGGACCCAACTGGAAAAAGAAGGGGGAAAAAAAAATTGCAGGCTAATTTCTTTAAAATACAGGTGTAAAAATCCACAAGAAGATACTGGCATACAATGCAATAAATCATCAAAAAGACCATGTAGGCTTCATCCTAAGAATGAAAGGCAGGTTCACAGTATACAAACTAGTACATGTAGTATATCACATAAACAGTAGTAAGGACAAAAACCACATGATATCTCAGTAAATGCAGAAAAGGGCTTTGATAAAATCCAGCATGCAATGATGATAAAAATAATCATGAAAATAGATGCAGAATGCCCTTATGTCCTTCTGATGAAAGCCATTTATGAGTCACCTACTACCAACATTATATAACATAGGGGGAAATAGCTTTCTCTAAAATCAGGTACAACATTATCATCACTTCTATTCAGTGTAGAATTTAAAATCTTTGCCAGAGCAATCAGGCAATAGAAAGAAAAATAAAAAGAATATATATAGGAAAGGAAAAAGTTGCATTATCATTATTTACAGATGACGTGATCCTCTACATAGAAGACCCCAAAAATTACTAGAACTAACCAGATTCAGCAATGTGGTAAGATACAAAATTAACACACAAAAATCAATAGTGTTGACGTACAGTAACTCACTAAGAAGTTAGGGAAAATTTCATACATGTTAACATTAAGAAAAATTAAATATTTAAGAATTAACCTAACCAAGGAAATGAAAGGCCTTGTACAGGGAGATTGAAGGGGACATCAGAAAATGTGAAGATAATATTAGTCTGTTCTTGGATTGATTGAGCCAATATTATCAAAATGGTAATGCTTCTAAAACTTCCAAATCAAGATACAAACAGTACTCACAGAATTAGAGAAAAGAAATCTAAAATTCATATGGAACCAAAGAGGTTGTAGAAGCAATCCTGTGTAACATGAGCAAAGCAGGAGATATCATAATCTAGGACTTGAAATTCCATTACAAAACTACAGTGATAAAAGCAGCATACTGCACAAAGACAGGAGGATCAGTAGAACAGATAGAGAAAACAAAACACCCCAGACACATTCAGCTATTTGATCCTTGACAAAGTAGCCAAAAACATACATTGTAGGAAAGGTACCCTCTTTGAAAAAGGGTGCTGGGAAAAATTGGCTATCCACGTATAGAAGATTGAGTCTAAATCTATGTATTTTACCATCTATAATCTAAAATCAAAATACATCAAAGATCTAAATGTTGAGGTAGAAACACTGTCTACTAGAAGATAAAATAGGTAAAACTCTTATTTAAAAACATAGGCATAGACAAAGACTTTCTGAACAAAACCTCAGTCACACAAGAAATAATACCAAAAATAAACAAATGGCATTATATCAGATTAAAAAGCATCTGCATAGCAAAGGATACAGCCAGTACAATGAAGAGCCAACCTGCAGAACGGGACAATTGTTGTCAACTCTTCATCAGATGGAGATCTGTAATCCATTCTAGAATATATAAACAACTCAAAAAAGAACAAAAACTTAAAAGAGTCAATCAAAATAAAATACCCAGTCAAAAACACAGAAAAATGAATGGATGCTTCTTAAGAAGTACAAATGTTATACAGCAACAGAACCTGGAAAAACTGTTGATGCTATTGATGCATAACATATTGCTATTATAGGTCTTTTTATATAAATACATATATATATAATTTGAATTTTTTGAAACTTTGTGCCGTCAACTTTGGAAAAATTTATCCCAGTTTACTGCGTTAAGTTAGCATTGTACAGAAATTAACAGCCATATTGGTCTAAAAATGTTAAACTAAATTTTTCCCATTTGTACAGGAGTAACATACTATATTAAATACATAAGGTCTTAGCTACATGGGTTTGATTACAGAAACTAATAAAAGTATCCTTTAAATTTAAAAAACTATGAATGACCAATAATACATGAAAAAACACTGAACAAAATTGTCCATTAGAGAAATGCAAATTAAAACAATACTGAGATTCCATCTTACTCCAGCATTACCATTATCAGGAAACCAAGTAACAGGTGATGCGAAGTACTAGAAAAAAAGGAGCCCATCTGTATTGCTGGTGGGAATGTAAGCCAATATAATTAGTATAGAAACCAGTAGGGAGAGTCCTCAAAACATTAGAACTAGACATTCTGTTTGACTAGGCTAATTCCCTTTTGGGTATCATCCCACAAGAATTAAGTTATCCATGCGTACTACCCATGTATAGTGATACATGCATACACATGTTTAGGGCAGCACAATTCATAATAGCCAGATCATGGAAACAGCCTGTATGTCCATCAGTAGAAGGATAGATGAAGAAAATTAGTATTCTTAAGTACATCTAGAGCACTACTGTGCCATTAAGAAGGGTACATTTGAGTCATTTGTAAGAATATAGAAACTACAGATGCACCATAAGACCATAATGTTATGAAATAACTCAGACACATTAAATTTATTTTATTTGAGAGACTCAAAATGTGAAGAGCAAAATAAAAAATAATAGGAAGGGAGATCTTTTTCAGATGAGAAAGGAATCAAGAGATGGAAGGGGAGGGAGTGAAAGGAGGGAAAGAATTAAAACCTCTCCACAAGGAATGTAATCATCTTGTACTGTTAACACATAGTAATTAAAACTGGAAACCAAAAAACAGAAGTTAACATATAGTTATATTTAAGCCTAAGATGTTTTATAGCAAAAGGATACAAAGCAAACTCAGCTTTGGAAAAGTTTGAAATGGTGCACAGGACAAAATCTAGAGGAAATCAGACACAGACTTTCCTAGTAGATTTATTTATAGGACATTAATTCCTCCAGCTTAAGTTTGACAGTATGTGCAAAATGTCGTCTACCAAAGAAAAACTTAACTAAGCTCAATAGTCCACAGTTTTCTGTCATGTATCAGGTAGTTTGCACCCTCTTTCCAGTATACCAAAATCTAGACTTCCAGAAGCAAAGCATGTTTCAGCACAGACTGCACCACGTGGACAGTTTAGGCATAGTTAAACCATGCTTACCACTTATGCAAAGTGTTATATTAGTGTAAGGAACTGTTCACTAGTTAAGTTTACAGACTCCAGCAGATGTTTCTAAAGATAACCCATTTCAGGGCAGCTATGTTAACTCTTCTGTAAAGAGTGAATTTCCCGTTTAAACAAAATTAGCCACAGTTGTAGAGGCATGCTGGAGTTTGACGGAATCAGAGTCAGCACCCAGTACCTCACTGCATAACGTTTTAATCCTCACTTCAGCCTTATTGAAATACTTAGTTTTCCAAATGAATTATCATCTTTACAACCAAGGGCTTTTTTGCATGCTGTTCTTCCTAATACTGTCCATCTACTGTAATCTGTTGGTTTATTCTTTCTTGTTATAGTTGGTTCAACCGTTACTCCATTGGTGTCATCTTCTTGTTTTCCTAGATTCAGACATTTCTTTTTCTCTCTTAGCTTCTGAAGCTTAAATACTTGGTAATCCTTGTGTCTTTCATGTTCCCGCAGTTGCACCACATTCTCATGTTATGGTAATTACTTGTTTACTCTTCTGCCTTTCAGTGTACTCTAGACTTTCAGAAGCAGGGGAATCTTTGATTATATCGTTTATTTCCTCCTGTTGGTACAGTGCTTGCTTAGCCTACAGGAAAGGCCTTACTGAGCAAGTTAGATGAAAATATAAAAATATTGAGCTAGAATCTTAAGAATTTACCTGAATTTTCTTTTGGAAATAGGAGGGAAAATTCCCTGTTGAAATATATGTGGAAGGTAAGAGGGCAGAGGATAATTGAAGAATAGTGACCAGTTGAAGAATAGTGAACAGTCTTCTTGGGAAGTAGCTTTTATTCTGCTATTCTTCTGCTGTGATAGCATCCTTTGTTCATCTGATCTAGCCACTTTGAAACTCTCTCCCCATTGTAATTTAGATAAACCTTCTTTGTGAGCTTTATTTCCTCCTTTTTAATACATATTAAGCCCTTGTGAATAGATAATTACCTGCACTGCTTACAGAATAGGTTTGTCTTCCTCATTGTCTTATTCCTCTCTTTTTTTTTTTTTTTTTTTTTTTTTTTTTTTTTTTAAAGTCAGGTTCTTACAGTGCAGTTCAGGCTGGTCTTGAACTTAATTTGTGGTCCAAACTGGCTTTTGCACAAGTGCTCTTACTTATGAATTCCGTGTTAGATTTTTTCTTTATCACTTTGGTAAGTAAACACTTTATAAAGCTCACAGAATCAAGTTATTCTGGACAAAGAAGGGAAGTGACAAGTCCAAAGGTAGGGACAGCAAAACAATCCTGAATTTCCACACATCTTCCATTTCTTCACACATTTGGACAGAAAGCATCACTAATTAAAGGGAAATTGTTTGAAATGCAGTGATTAGTTAATAGATTTCTTGCTATCTACCTATTTTCTTTGATATCAGAAAGTCTCAAGCAGTGGTTTCCAAATGGTCGGCCAGGGGTCTCACAATTATCTTATTAAAAACAAACATTTTCAGATTTCTGCTTAAGTCTTCACTCTCCAGATGTACAATCCAGGAATCTGTAATTGTGAATACACACACACACACACACACACACACACACACACGTGTGTGTGTGTGCATATTATAAAGCCTCTTAACCACTAATCTTGAAAAACTAGAAGCTTTGTAGGCTATTCCAATACCAAATGAACAACTCCAAAAGCACACACAGACCCTCAAAAACACAGGGTCTAACAGATTACTTGCAAAGAATTACAGACATTCTGCATTTTGTCCTCCTTGACCACCACAAAAATCTCTGCTGAGGTTCCATCAGCAAGTGCCTATGTAGACATCAGTCCTACAGAAACAGAGTCAGCCAAAACCGGATTACAACTCAAGGGTTTGCACAGAAGTAATTATACAGAAAAGCACGTTTCCCTCCACTAAGGTATACACTAGGGCATATTACCCTATAGTAAGCTATACAGTATTCATTTAACAAATATTTATGGAGTACTTACTATGTGGAGAAAATATTATAGATATTTAGAATATAAGAGTGACTTAAATGGATAAAGAGCCTACCTCCCCTCTACAGTTTAAAGTTCTTCCATGAGACAAACAATAAAGAAAATAAGAATAAAATCCCCTCCAGATTTATATACTTTTATATATGTGGATAGACAAAATATATGCAACGTTTAGATACCCTATAAATAACAAATAATGTACATATATGTAAAATGGATCATGTTAATACAGAAAAAAACCAAAAGGCTATAGGCTTCTAGGGCACGATTTTAATTTCCAGAGGATGATCAAGAAAGGCCTTAGGAGACCATGACATTTATAGATAGACGCAAAGAGAGATGATCATGTTGGCCATCCAGATACCTAGGAATGAGCATTCTAAGTAAAGGAAATAGTCATTGAAAAACCCTAAACTTGGAGCAAACTAATCATTTGAGGACTCTAGGGAAGTTGTTTGGCTTGGGAACTGAAGGACAGACAAGGCAGGAAGAAATAGAGACTCATTAAGATACTATGAGAGCAGAGGAGCACTAAAATAATGTGACTTGTCTTACAGTCTTTCCACATCATTCCCCAAAAGATCGAGGCCCAAATAGAATTTTACTTGTCCATATTCGGGTCCATATTAGTCTTGCATTTTGTTAGCTTTTATATTCACACTTTATAGTTTACTTCTTTGTAGAATAGTTAAATTTTATTTCCTCAACTGGTTGATAAATTCTGTGAGGTGAGATAAAGTTTATTTTTCTTTTTACTGATACTATATTCTATCTCTGCTGTCACAGTTTGTCACACAGGTTATTAAATATTTGATGAGTGAATAAATTTAATACCCATGTATATGACATAGTGCCTCCCAGTTTTAATAGTTAAGAAAATGAGCCAATATGTATCTGTTTTTATTATTTTCTTCCTTACATTTATTGTAAAATATATAATTTGTCAACTACTTGATTACCACCTGCTCTCTAGAAATGAATAATTTGCCAGGTATTTATAATAAAAAATGTGTGTGAATTAGAATTTCAGAGATGAAGTCACAAGTATTTTGATGAACTTTCTACTAGAATTTTATGAAGTACTCAATTTCATGAAAATGAAATTTTTTTTCATTATATTCAAGAACATTACTAGTATTATTTTCATGCCATGAAAATAATAGGGTATGAATCTTTTCAGAAGAGAACAGGAATTATCTAGAAGAGATGGTATTTGTATAAAACTGTCAAAATTCTGGGTGCTTAAAAAGATCTTAAATGTAAAATCACCTTAGTACAGATTTTGAAGTAACAAATTTACATCTTTGCTCTATTGTCATTTTCACAGGTTCAAGAACAACAAACAGATGGTGTGAAATTTGAATTTACCAAAGAAAATCTGTCAAAAGAGGAAACTGAGTCTTTGTCAATCCATTCTCAGATGACCAGCTTGCAAAACATCGGTAAATTTCGATAATAAGTCACATTTTTGTATTTTTATACAAAATACCTAATAATTTACAAAATACAATTTTGTTTTGAAAGATGAGATAACTTGGTTAAGTTAAATATTTTACTGTAATTTGTCTGGTCTTAATTTTCTCATCCTTAATATGAAAAGTATATGGACTAGTGATCTCTGGTCCCTCTAACTAACTTTATATTTTATTTTGTTTTAAATTTAAAGTAATAAAATGTTTGATTTTAGTGATACTATAGGCAGATGGTAGGAAAAAATTATTCTGTGTTGTGTTTTTATCAGAACAAGTCAAACTACATTGCTATCAGTTTTCTCAAGGAAGAATGACTATTTTTTGTTCACACAAGTAGTTGTGTTATTGCACTAGCAAATTGGTAGTGAAATGTGCATTTTTTTCTATTCCTGTAACATAGATGTCAATCATAAAAGCACATTATCTTCTCTGCAAGATACAGAAAAAGTGAAACATCTTAAAGAACAAGTTCAAGACTTAGAAAACCTCGTATCCTCTTTGCAGCGACAGTTGAAAAAAAAGGAAGAAAACTATGGGGTAGAGAACCAAATTTTACAGGAGAAGCTGCAAACTGTTAGTGAGTCCACAGTTCAGCTAAGGTATCTGTCTACTTACAATTTTGTTCAGTAGTTCTTATAACTTAGTAACAATCCATGGTCGTATCTTCTGTAATGCTTAAGAGTAAAGTATAATTTAAGAAAAATTGTATTTATACTTTTTTATTTTAATTTTAAAGAATAAAATAAACAGTGAAAATGAGTTTCAAAACAGGGTAGCAGGACAGTTACAATACTAGATATATTGCATATTTTTGTCTTGTAGTTATTCAGAGTACAGGACATAGGCATGATATCTAAACAGTATTGGTACAAAACGTTGTTGTCAAGAACAAATAGAAACTAGCTGTATAACTATCATACATACATATATTTTTTTCCTTTTGCCCATTCTTCCTTTCCCCTATTACAGTTTGTCTTTTCTTTTGAACAGTTTCTTCCCAATTCACAATATCTTTTGTATGATTTTTTAATTTTAAAAATAAAAAAGAAAAACCAGAAAAATCAAGATGCAAACCAATCTAAAAAACAACAAAAGCAAAATGACAAAAAAAAACAAAAAACAAAAAAAAAAACCCTACACACACAAAAAAACCCCATAGCTATATAGGTTTTAAAAACAGTATGTTAGGAATTTAACAGTACTGGTTGCACCACATATTGATATCTTTAGAATAGTTGCTCAGGTTGCCAGGTGAGTCCTCGCAGTCAGCCAGGTGCTTACCAGGAAGGTTGAGAGATGACTGATGGATATGCTCTTCTAGTTTCCCAGCCCATGTACCAGCTGGCTCATGAGAAAGCATGCTTTGACTTATTACTGTCTTCTCCTGATCTCCGTGGCATAACCTAGCCCATGGGAAGGCATACTTTGTCTTCTTGCCGAGTCTCCTCCCAATCCCTGTGCCAGAACCTGGCTCAGTCTACTTATACTTTTATAGAGATGTTAATTTTCTGGGTTCATCAGTCTGGAACATGTATTTGTTTATTCTATGCCTAAGCTTTGCTACTATTTATTTATTTATTTTCTGAGACAAGGTTTCACTTTGTAGCCCTGGCTGGCCTAGAACTCTTCTGCCTCAGCCTCCAAAGTGCTGGGATCACAGGTATACCTGTACCTGCACTACCATGCCTGGCAGTCTTGTTGCTTTGATATGGTAACTAAGATACCATTGTCCATTCTTAGCTGAATTCCCTTCACTTAATTGTCTGATATTCAAATTCACCATCACCAAATAGAGTTATGGACCCTCTCAAAATTTATACCTTCTGCAGCCATCTTCATCTATCATGACTGTTCTTTCTCTTACATATTTATTCCAATCTACGAAGAAATCTTTTTAAAAAGTAAGCCTTCAATGTGTATTTGAACTGAATCATTCCTCACTGGCCTACTAGTCTCTACAGTCATCATCCCTCTCCTAGATTACTCTGACTTTTCCTTCTTTCTCTTTTCTGAATAGTCAGTACAGGTGCCAGACCTTGCTTTTAACACTTAAGACTGGAGGGGTTATTTCAGTGCTCTCCTGCTCGCATCCTATCTTAGCAGGTCCTGCACAGTGAGTCCCTATTCCTACTGACTTATCTGTCTTTCTTTTTTATTTATTTATTTATTTATTTATTGTTGATGCCAGGGATTGAACTCATGACCTTGCACTCACTAGGAAGGCGCTTATATCGCTGAGCTAAATCCCAGACCCTGTCTGTTCTTCTGTTCCTAAACCAAACACTCCCTGGTGTCCACAAGATTAGTTTGCTCCAAGTTTAGGGTTTTTCATTGGCTGTTTCCTTTACCTAGAATGCTCATTCCTAGGTATCTGGATGGCCAACATGATCATCTCTCTTTGCGTCTATCTGTAAATGTCATGGTCTCCTAAGGCCTTTCTTGATCATCCTCCGGAAATTAAAATCGTGCCCTAGAAGCCTGTAGCCTTTTGGTTTTTTTCTGTATTAACATGATCCATTTTACATATATGTACATTATTTGTTATTTATAGGGTATCTAAACATTGCATATATTTTGTATATCCACATATATAAAAGTATATAAATCTGGAGGGGATTTTATTCTTATTTTCTTTATTGTTTGTCTCATGGAAGAACTTTAAACTGTAGAGGGGAGGTAGGCTCTTTATCCATTTAAGTCACTCTTATATTCTAAATATCTATAATATTTCCTCCACATAGTAAGTACTCCATAAATATTTGTTAAATGAATACTGTATAGCTTACTATAGGGTAATATGCCCTAGTGTATACCTTAGTGGAGGGAAACGTGCTTTCCTGTATAATTACTTCTGTGCAAACCCTTGAGTTGTAATCCGGTTTTGGCTGACTCTCTTTCTGTAGGACTGATGTCTACATAGGCACTTGCTGATGGAACCTCAGCAGAGATTTTTGTGGTGGTCAAGGAGGACAAAATGCAGAATGTCCGTAATTCTTTGCAAGTAATCTGTTAGTCCCTGTGTTTTTGAGGGCCTGTGTGTGCTTTTGGAGTTGTTCATTTGGTATTGGAATAGCCTACAAAGCTTCTAGTTTTTCAAGATTAGTGGTTAAGAGGCTTTATAATATGCACACACACACGTGTGTGTGTGTGTGTGTATTCACAATTACAGATTCCTGGATTGTACATCTGGAGAGTGAAGACTTAAGAAGGAATCTGAAAATGTTTGTTTTTAATAAGATAATTGTGAGACCCCCGGCCGACCATTTGGAAACCACTGCTTGAGACTTTCTGATATCAAAGAAAATAGGTAGATAGCAAGAAATCTATTAACTAATCACTGCATTTCAAACAATTTCCCTTTAATTAGTGATGCTTTCTTTCCAAATGTGTGAAGAAATGTGGAAATTCAGGATTGTTTTGCTGTCCCTATCTTTGGACTACTGTCACCTCACTACCTGTCTTAATTTCCATACTGCTCAGTTGAAATGTGTTTACAAAATTTTGCCGTTAAGACTATTAATTTACTACCTTTCCTGTTGAAGAATGTTACTCATTGCCGTGTTCGTTTTTATACTAACGAGTCTAGGGTTCTTGTGTCACATATTTTAAAACAGTGATAGCACAATTTGAATTAAACTTTTACAGTTCTTTACATGCGAACTTGTTTTGTTTAAGAAAAATAATTGTCATTTATTGTATAATCATTTGAAAACTTCATACTGGGAAGTATTTTAGAAAAATACTATGGAATTGGAAAGACCATGGGTTTTCAAGTCAGATGAATTTGCATTAGACTGCTTTTTGACTTTTACTGGTATATGACTATCAGCAAATTTTTAGACATTTCTGTGTAACAATAAGGTTAATAATTATTATTAACATTATGAAGATGAATAACTGGGAAGAACCTTGACAACTGCTGTGAAAAAAAAATAAGATTTACATAAAGTAGCCCTTTGTTTCCAGGTACTTCAATCTAATCATGACGTAATTGTTCACAAATAATTTTTAAAATAGCATGTTTGGGAATTATAGCCCTAGTGATTCAACTAAAGTGGCAGGATTTAATACTAGATCTGTATAGCATTTTTAATGTACTTTCTGTAATACTGCCTATAGAGTAGTATCAGGGAATAGAAATGAAGGGTAAATATCAGAATATTTTGATGAATATTGAGATCCAAGCATAGGGGAAAATTATAAAGAACCTTCTGTTATTTGGGCCTATTGAGTATGGATAATGATGGTACATTAATATACATAGTGAAATCTGGCAGTAAATTAAGTAATAGCTTCATTGTAGGAAAGAAGTAGTGAATTCGGTGTTAGGTTTTTTTGTTGTTGTTTTTTGTTTCACTTTATAAAGCTTACAAAACCCAGTTGTTGTGGGCTAAGCAGTGTTTTGCAGTTAAGGTTAAATGAGTGGATAATCAGAATGGTATTCTCAACTATGAAAATAAGAACTAAGAAACAAAGGCAAGGCCCCAAATTATGTATGTAAGGGGTACTGAGAAAAACAGACAAAATAGTGAGAAAGTTAAGAAAGGAAAGGGTAGCAAAGTTTTTAGAAAGATGAGATGGATAGGAAATATGAATATATATTTTGTAGCAGGAGAGAAATTTACATATACAGTAGCATTTGAAAGAAAATTTACCCTCAGAAATTAAGACATATTCTTGCAAAGTTTTAAGATGTTCATACACATTATTGAAGTTGTAAGAGAACACTTAAGTGATACTGTTATGCAAGTGAAATAATTTGAAATATGATACTATACTCAGATTTCAAGCAATGAGTTTAACAAGTTATAAGATTTATCACATAAAAAATACCTGTGGAAAGATACAGAGATATACTTGTAAGAATCTTACAGCATTGTTCTTCATAGTGAACATTTGGAAACAGCCAAGTGAACATCAATACAGATTAATTACATATAATGAATGGGATAATGATATAGCTTATATATGGTCAATTTTGAAAAGAGTAGAAGACATTAGGAGAATGTAAGCAAGAGGAGGATGGAATAAAGACAGTATAGGTAGTTACACATGAAAATGACAGTGAAGAATTATATTTTCCAAAAGTGAGACTTACAAATTTTCTCCTTTTATTTTTTCTCATGTTTCTTAAACACTAATCTTAACTCATTGTTGTTACCTATTTTAACTCTTTAGGATGTTTGTTCATTTTAATTAACTTGAAATCCAGAAATCTGTGTATTTGTTAGCTTGTGGGTAGGGATGGAGCCCAGGGCATCATAGATAGTAGGGGAAGCATTGTACTATTGAGCTACACATGCCCAGCCATTTTTATTTTAAGATGGAGTCTTACTAAGTTTGCCAGACTTGTCTCAAACTTACATTCTCCCTGCCTTAGTCTTCTGAGTAGTCAGGATTACAAGCATGTGCCATCACACCTGGTAAGTTAAACATTTTAAGAGAAACATTTTTACAAAGTAGTAAATAATTGTAGAATTTAGAATACATACATACATAAAAGATGTATGCGAATAGAGTAAAATCAAAGTCCAAAAATAACTGCTTAAAATGAGAATCTTCATTGCCACTGCATGTCAGTTTGACTAAAGATAATCATTGTTACTTTTACTATGTGTTCTTTGAGACTTTTTTCTATGATATGCACACGTGTGTAAAACAAGTTTTAGTAAAAGATACTACCTTTTTACCTCAGCTAAATCTAAGGTAACTTTTTTTAAAAAATACCAATACCTTTAATAGCTCTATATTGTACATTTATAGTAAATTTTATAAAATGCTATAAAATTCATTTGGTGATATGTTAAAATTGTGCATCATTCGTGTTATTTTTAAATGGAAAAATTTGTCAAAAATATAAATTAAGTTACAATATCTGTAAATCCTGATCTGTCATTTTTGTCTCTCTTGCCCTGGTACACATTTTATGCATAGCATAAGTTTTAGATGAATAGCAAAACATATGCACAACTTTAATTCTTTCATCCTTTCTTATTTATATTTAGTCCCTCCATTGATTCAGCAGCAGTAAAAGCATCTGCTGGACAGAGAACAGAACACACTGGATATTGTCTAAAAGAAAACATTGATGGTACAATAGAGGTATGATGTTACATTTTTATTTTAAAGGGTTAATGCAGTGACTTTTTTCTTTCATTTTTGTATGTGTGGCTTAGTAGTTACCCATAAATATTTTCCAGACATAAGCAAAATATAAAAACCTAAGCTAAAGAAAATATGTTTCCATAGCCTAGGAAAAAATGGAAAGTTAAATTTTGCCTAAATATGTTACAGTTTAATTTTTGTCTTGTTTTTATAACTCTTTGTGTGCTATGTAACAAATCAGTTTCAATGACCAATTAATTTTTTCTTTCCATCACAAGAAGTAAGACCAAGCTATCTTTAGAATAATTTAGGAATTCCCAAAATCCACGTGCTAAAGCTGGAATAGTGGATGAAGCCTCCTTCCCAAGAGGCTTATGACATAAAAACATTCCTTGTCTTTTCCATTGCATGCCCTCTAGCTGAGCCACTCTCTGCCCCTCCTCAATATTGTATTATTCCTAATTCTCAAAAGGTTTCTCACACCTCCAACTGCAAAACTTCAGTCTTCATCTTCACTCCCCAGACTTTTAGCTCCTACTTCCTAGAGAAAATAAAGATAATTGCATGTTGCAGTATTCATTCTGAATACTGGAGAGAAAGCCACATTCTTGATTCTTCTGCACTCATCCTTTACTCTGTGTCTGTCTGGGTGAAACAGATTACTGGTAAATAGATACATGCTGAGAATATGATTACATTTCTAAAAAGGGTTACTTTTATATTGATGAAAATAATTTGTATTTGTGGAAAATTGGATCATATTAAAATAGCTCAAGAAAATGTATGTGGAATAATCATAAACAAGCACCCAATATTATAAGTATGTAAATGTTTTCTCTTTGTACTGTATTTCTACATTCACAATACTAAGTATAATTATTTAAGACAATTACTCACTAGAATTAGGCTTTTAGTAAAAGGGGAACAAAATTTATTTTTTGCTGAGAATATCCACAATTTTCTAAGAAATAGTGATGCTGTGAGAATATTTTGAGAGTAGATCTCAAAAACAAGAAGTATATAATTAGTGACAATAGGTATGTCATACTTTGCTTGCTTTTTAATTTAGTTTTCTGGTGAATTTGGAATGAAACAAGAAGCAAACACGGTTACATTGCTAGAAAAACAGTACCAAGAACGATTAGAAGAAGAAGTAGCTAAGGTAAGTTTATGTTTTTTGAGAAGAGTATCTTGGTTTATTTTCTCTTTGACACTTTGAAAAGCATAGTTTGCTCTACTGGTATGTATTTTGTTTTTATAAATTTCATGTATATTTCTTCATTAAGTCATTAGATGAGATCAACTATGATTACATTAAATGGAACTTTCTGTCAATTTTTCTTGGAGAAAAACTATTTCTGGATGTAGACAGTAAACAATTAGAAACCTACAAGTCTATGTATTTGTTAACTTCTGAGTAAAAACACAGCAAAAGGCAGGACAAGAAAATGATTAGTCTTGTTTTACTTTTGTCTCACTTGTCTAGAGAAGTTTTTGTGATTAAATAATAACTACAGACACTAAACAAGCACTATCACTGACAAATAACTCTTGCTAAGTAGAGGTGTCTTATTGTAGATTTTTGCTTATCTCTGTGTCCTTAGCTGTTATACCAGAGTGATTCTTTTAAACTGTTAAATATGTCTGCATTATTTTCTCATTGCTGAAACACAGTAACCAACACCCACAATTGAAGTAGGGAAAAGTTATCTTGGCTCATAGTTTATAGCTGTTTTAGTCCATATTTGCCTGACTCCCAAGATAGAGCAGCATAGCAGAATGGTGCAGCAGAAGAGTAATGATTCATGGCATGGCAGTGGGAGGCAGAGCAGGGGGAAGGAATGAGAAAAGAGATGTAATAGGTAGGTAGATAGGTAGGTATATCCTTCCAGGCCACACCCACACTGACCCCTTCTTCCCACTAGGCTTTATCTCCCAACATCACACCCAGCTATAAACCCACCAGTGAACTAACCCAGTGATGTGCGTGACACACTCATGATGTAGCTGTCTCCCAAAAGCCCTACCTGGGAGCACATGCAGTCTTAGGGGTGTTTAGATATAAACCATAAAGGAGACCAAGACTTCCAGACCCAAGGAAATGTCTCAAATGGACTATTTTATTAGGGTATCATTGTACAGTAATTAATATGACACTTGATATTGTTTATATCAATTCTTGTTCTTCTAGTTTGTTAAATGTGTGATCTTAAGAAAGTTACTTAATGGAGATATAAAGATACTTTACAAATCTGCCTGGCAAGCATGAGGTCATGAGTTCAATCCCCAGTACTAAAAAAGAAAAAGAAAAAAAGATACTTTACAAAGCATTACTCATCTGTGCTGACAGAAGAACATCAAAGTATAGGCCAGGGAAAACTATTCTTTTATTTGAAAACAGAAATCTATTGTGAATGTTAGTAAGAACCAGTGTTTATTTTTCCTTCTAATATCTATCATGTGCTTTGTATTTATATACTTAAGCACTTTTATTTATTTGTATTGATCTTGTTATTTTTTTTAAATTTTTTTATTTAAAAAAACAAAACAGAAAAAAGGGTAGAAATAATACATAATTTCAAAAAAATTAACAGTATGAAATCACTAGTTGATAATTACATATTGTCCTCTTACAAAGAGTTGTTCAAGTTACAAAAGTGAAGCATACAAAGTGGACATTCAAACAGTGAGACTGCAAACAGTTCTGGTTCAACTAGCCAACAAAAACTTAGTAATATGGTTATAAATACTATACACTTAAACATACATGTAGTTATCCTTTAGAGTACTTTCTTTTCCTCATTTTTTTATAATAGGAATAACACATTTTGGGATTTATTACTCCTACATTTCTTATTACTGTTTATACTAGAGACACAGTGTGATATTTATAAATGTGATTCTTGTTTATTTCACGAATGAGAATAGCTTCTAGTTGTCTCCATTTGCCTATGAAGGCCTCCAGATCATCCTTTTTATAGCTGAGTAATATTCCATTGTATAAAGATACCACATCTTTTTCATCTGCTCTGAGGTTGATGGACATCTTGGTTGTTTCCAAGATTTAGCTATCACAAATTGTGCTGCTATGAACATGGGTGCACGTACATCTCTGTGACGTGATCTTTTCAGTTTTTCTGGGAAAATACCCAGTAGGGGAATAGCTGGATTGAATGGAACTTCCAATCCTAGTTTTTTGAGGAATCTCCATGCTGATTTTCACAGTGGTTGCAACACTCTGCGCTCCCACCAATAGTGGAGAGGTGTTCCTTTTTCCCACGTCCTCTCCAACATTTGTTATCAGTTGATTTCTTGATGGCAGCCATTCTTTCTGAAGTGAGATGAAATCTTAGTGCTGTATTAATTTGCATTTCTCGAATGACCAGTGATGGTAAACATTTCTTCATGTATTTATTTGCCATTTGTATATCTTCATCTGAGAACTGTGTCTTCATTTCAGATACCCATTTTTGGAGGGGGTCTTTGAATTTAGGGAGCTTGATGTTTTTCCTTCTTTATATGCTCTGGATATAAGTCCTTTGTCTGAGGGGTTGCGGGCTATAATTCTTTCCCATTCTGTGGGTTTTCTTTTCACTCTGTTGGTGATTTCTTTTGAAGTGCAGAAACTTTTCAATAATATGATATCCCAGTTGTTGATTCTTTGAAGTGTTTCCCATGCAGTTTGCGTTGTATTCATGAATTCTCTGCCTACTGCTATGTCTCTTAAGACTTCTACCTACCTTGTCTTCCAGTAGATTTAGGGTTTCTGTTTTAATATTTAGATTTTTGATCCATTTAGATTTTAGTTTTGTGCATAGCGATAGACATGGGTCTAGTTTCAGTCTTCAGCATGTGGAGAATCAATTGGGAAAACTATTCTTAAGGAAGCCAATGTACTATACTATGGCCTGAGAGACAACACTGATGACCAAGCTCTGTCCAAGAATAATATAAATTGTTGACATATATTGATGAGAGTATACTCCACCTTATATATTCAGGTATGATATTGGAAAAGATTGGGAACCATTTTGCTGAAAGTTCAGGCCATGTAGGAGATGTCCAGGAACACTGTAGATTTCTCCTGTGATTTGGATACGCACAACTGAAGATACACATTTATTTATACTTTATTGCAGACACTATTTTGAAGACGGGTATGTCAGGAAAAAAGGATGAGAACTTTGCTCCTGCAGACCTTACATTTTAGTTCTATAGCTAGACATCTAGACACAGATGACAATAAATACTGCAAAGAAACAATAACCAGGGAATAAGATTAGAAATATCCATTGAGAATAAGATGATACTGTTTTTACATAGGGTGTAATGGAACACCTCGCTTTTTCAAGTAATGGTAAAATAGGCATGGTGATACACTCTTGTAATTCTATCTCTTTGGAGGCTAAGACAGGAAGATCATTGCAAATTTGAGAGCATTTTGGACTACATAGTGAGTACAAGTCAGGCCTAAACTACATAATGACACCTTGTCTCTGAATGAATGATATTAGAGGAAAATCTGAAAGAAATGATGGAGTGAATTCTGGGTATCAGGTTGAGGACTTTAAGGAATTGGAAATATAAAAATAAAGGAAAAAGTCAAGACAACCTGTCTAACAGGTATCTCCAAGAGGTAGCAAGGAAAGTTGGCTACAGTTTGTGAAGACCTCTTACCTAGCTGCTAACTCAATTCTGAGTTGTTTGATTCAGCTTTGCAGTTTCCTTAGCTACGAACCTATTTCCTACAAAATTGTGTGATCTTGATTTATTTCCTTATCAGATGTAATGGGGTACAGGCGGCAGAAATACAGGGAAATGGGGCAGGATTCACACTTAAAGGGTGAATATTAATTTAGGAAATTTGACCTGGAAAAATGGAGTTTTTATTTACAGAGAATCAGTAATGACATAAAAGACTGTGAAGGGGTAAATTTTGCAAAGGAGTGTGAGAGTTTAGTTACCAACATTTGACTCATTAAATGAAAAACTTATTAAATGTGGTGTAAATGTCTGTATGGCTAGATATATAAATCTAGGGCTTAGGAAATCTAAATGTAGGAGTTAGTATTGCAAGTAGTTTCAAACTGTTCGTTGCAACCCATTTTTAAGTCATATAATCAATTTAGTGTGTTGAGAATAGGATTTTAGAATTAATGGAAAGGTTCCATTGTGTAAACATACACAGAAATGCGTTATATAAGTTTTGGGTCATAATGTAAAATATATTTTGTTTTTGTTTGTGTGTGTTAACCATTTATTGCAATGAAAAAATTGAAAACTGCAAACATACAGAGTAAATATAGATAGGAAAACTTCTGAGGACTAGGAAAGAAATCCCCAGTGTTTAGAGGTAGAGAAGTAAGAAAGTCAAAGGAGATGAACAAGGAGCAGTATGTTAGATGTGGAAGGAACAAAGAAATTGCATTATAGAACGCAAGTAATAAAAATGTATTAGGGGGGCTGGGGATTTAGCTCAGCGGCATAAGCGCCTGCCTTGTAAGCAGGCAGTCATAAGTTCGATCCCTGGTGCCAATTAAAAAAATTTTAAAAATGAAAAAAAATGTATTAGGAAAAGAATGTACTAAATTAGGTTGGATGTTTCTGATAGATAAGAAAGATTATAACTGCAAATTAGCTGTTTGATTTTACAGTATGAAATCATATTGGCTTACACGAACAAACTCGACTGCATGATGGAGATAGCCTCTGGCTAGTTTGAGAGTACGAAAAGAAGAATGAAGTGAATAATTTTCAGTTTTACTTTAAAAGGGGTCAGAAAAGTATAATGGTAGCAAAAACAATGATGTAGAGAGTCAAATGGTAGATTTTTGTTGTTGCTGTTTTGTTTTTAAGATGAGAGATTGCAAATAGAAATAATTGACGAGCAAAAAAGAAAAATAGCTGATTCAGAAGAGAGAGCAGCAGTTGTGGAGCAGGGCACTTGAGTGGAGGAGGGAATTTGTTATATGGAGAGTTCCCATTACATAGGAGCATGGCAGTGTAATCTGCAGTAATAGGAAAAAGGCATGAAATACTTGGAGTTTGTGTGTGTTTTTTATTAGTATGTGTTTGCAGTATTTGCAGTTTATATCATATATTGGGGTCTATGTACATAATGTGGTTCTTTTTAAAATCCCCTATCCCTCCATTCTCCTTTAGTTCTCCTTTCCCCATTTTCCTTTTTGTTGACACATTAATTTTATTCCATGTTTATGACATAAAATGTTTATATTCATGAGGTTATTAGGTTTCTGTGCATGACATATATTTATTCTACTTATTTCTCCTTCCCTTCTCCCTCTCCTTTTACCTTCAGTCTCTAAAACCCCTTCCCATTTGCAAGAGATCTACCTCCTTGTCTCCTAGTGTCCTTCCTGTGTTGTGGTCTTTGTACGTGAAGGCAGAAACATATTCAGGAATGTTTTCAGATGCCATATTTGGTACCTGTGGAAGTTTTTTTCTCACAGAAGTTCTCCTCTCAGAAAAATAGGATGCAAAGTTAACATCAGTGAATAGAAAGAGACATGAGAGAGAGAAGGATGGTGGAGAGTAGGGGAGAATTGGAATGGGAAATTGAATTATTGTGCAGTATCACTGAGGGTGCATTGCAAGGATATTGATATGAATTTAAAGCGTGACCAGTTTACTTCATTGAATTTTTCCTTCCTCAGTTAAGCTCAGGTTCAAAGACAAAGAGTAGGGTGAGATTTAATTGTAGGCACAGGTGGAATTTTATTAGTATAATAAAGGAAAAAGAGAATAAGAAGGTAGTTTGGTCTGGTTTTGTAGTTTCCATATCGAATTCTTAAAATTACTTTGATTGGGGCTGGGCATTTAGCTCAGTGGCATAAGCGCCTGCCTTGTAAGCAGGCAGTCATGAGTTCGATCCCTGGTACCGATAAAAACGAAAAAGACAAAAAAAAATTACTTTGATCATTCCTTTCTAATTTAAATGAAATCACAAAAGAAATTGATCATCATACTGAGTTTTCAAAATTTCAATAGCTTGCTTTGTAACCTGTCATATGGTCAGACTTTTGTTGTTTATAACCATATCTATTGGGATATAATTTACATAATATGAAATAAGTGCAGATTTTTGTGTGTTTTAATGAACATTAATGATTGTAAAACCAGTATCATATCAAGATATAAAAGTAGGGGCTGGGGATTTAGCTCAGCGGCATAAGCTCCTGCCTTGCAAGCAGGCAGTCATGAGTTTGATCCCTGGTACCGATAAAAAGGAAAAAGACAAAAAAAAAAAAAAAAGATATAAAGGTATATCTTCCAGTGACTCCCAGAAGCTTCCCTTTGCAGACAATTCTGTCCCTTATATGATGCTGTATTCTACTTACTAATATTTTGTCAATAATATGTACATGTGTCTTCATGAAGAATTTTATCTATATTTTTATTTTCTTGTAATGTTTTTGTTAGGATCTAAAACCAGAATAGTGCTGACCTTAAAAAATGTTAAAAAGTATCAGCTCTTCTTCTATTTTCTAAAAAACTTTATGTGGACTTGGCATAACTTCATTCTGCAGTATTTTGTAGAATTTTCCAGTGCATCAGCTGGGCTGGGGGTCATCTTTGCTGGGATTTTTAAAAAGCTATATGTGCAATTTCTTTGGTCTTCTTAGTTTTTTTCAGGTTACCTATTTCTTTTGGTCCCTTTTGTCAGAGCTGTTGAATTTCTGTATCTAGAGTTTTTGTTGTATTCATTTGTCGCTTCATATCTATATGCTCTTTTAGAGTTATTCCTAATTTCTCCTTTTGTTAGTTTGGCTAAACGGTTATTGTATATATTGATATTTTCAAGCATTCAGATTTTGGTTTCATTGTAGTTTATATTGTTTTAAGTTTTATTTTCATTTTGATTGCTACTCTCATTTTTTTATTCTCTTATTTCTGCTTTTTTGGATTAATTTCCTTTTTTCTAGTTTTCTAAAAGACCTTTCTGTTCTGATTTACGCATTTGAAGCTATAAATTATCCTATACACAATGCTAATGCTGCATTTTAATTGCTATTCAATTAAAATATATTAGTTAGTTTACTTTGTGACATTTTCTTTGATTCATGGGCTACTTAAATATGTGTTGTCTGATTTTTATGTCTAGAATTTTTAGATAGCTTGTTGCCGCTGATTTAGTAGCTTATTTCTTTGTGTTTAGATGACGTACTATGTGATTTCAGTTCTTTTAAATTTGTTTTAAGTATAGTCTTATTTGAGCAAGTAGTACTCCATATGTGCAGGAAAAGACTGTATTCAGTTGTTTAAAAGTCAAGTTTCCTTTAGTGTTACTTCTTTCAGCCTGGAAAACTTCCTTAAATCTGCTAATAGCAAATTCACACCAAAAAAAATATGTATCATCTAATTTTGAAATGTATATGGATTGTTTAGGATATATGATGTCAAAACCCTGGATCTCATTATCCATAGAATGAATTTTTTAAAAAAACACGGAGTGAGTCTAGCTAGATTCAGACCGTAAGTTCGGTATCACCTTTTCCAAGCGGTTTGCTTCTGAGTTTTAACTCCCCTCTGCACTCTGTTTGGCCTTTGTTGACTTTTCAGAGTTCTCTAGCGGTTACTTTTTATTTTGTTCAGAGGTTTTAATTATTATCAGTAGAATAGAAAAACTGCCCAGAAGGACAAGTCCTATTATTTAGTTAACTAATTCTTTCAACCCTCTGTTTCAACATTTGGCTATAATGGGCATATATTCCAGGTGAGTGACGAGGACAATTGTTAACCAAACCTCTTTTGCCTGATCTAGCATTCAAGAGGTTCTGCTTGGTAGGTGAGACTATCTGGACAAAGGCAGTTTAACAGGGTGTTTAGGTGGTTAATGTCTATGATATCCTTTGGTTCAAATCTCTGCTGTCATTGATTAGGTATATGACCTTTTTCATGGCTTCTAATCTTGTTGCATTCCATTTTTCTCAGCTTTTGCCTTAATACTACAAATACTCTTGGCAGTTGACCTTTACACTTCTAAGCACACCCATTCAAATGTGGGTTAATAGTGCAGTATTTTATTTTAGAAAGTGAATTTTAGAAAACTGCAGGACGATGAGGTCCATCTTCCATAGTTTGTTTTGTAGTTGGAGTCAAATTACTTAATCTCTGTCTTCCTTAGTTTCCTTCTCTATTAAATTGGCATAATAATAATACCTAACTTGTAGTTTATATTGAAGATTAAATAAAATAATGGTCTTAATCACTGATTACTTCTCAGTTTTATTTTATGGAAAACAGTAAAAATTTCATAACAAAATAATAGAATAATAATAGTTAATACATTGAATATTGTTATCTTTAAAGTAGTTAGAGTACAAGATATGGCCATAAAATGTTCTCCAAGTGACGTTAAGACAAACCTTTCTTTTCAATAAACTAAGAGACACTAGTAGTATAACTACCTTGTATTTTGTTTTGTTTTTTCTCATTTTTATTGAAGCAGGATATCACTTGCCAGCTGGAGGATATAGCATCTGGGAAGAAGTAGGCTAACAGGATTATAACCTCAGATTGATAAGTCAGGTTCATTCAGGAAATTAAAGCAAGGTTTAGTTATGTGATTAGAACTAACAAGAGAATTAGTTTGAGAAGGCTAAAAGTCAGTAGACAAAGATTTCTAATCTCAAGCATGCTTTATTGGCTTTTGACAGCTAGCCTTTACCATTTACAAATTATCTGTGAAAGTAGTACTTTGGATAAAGTCATTGCTACATTAGGTTCTCAAAGTCTGAGGGGCTCATCAGAGCAAAGCTGTCAAAATTTCGAAGCACCTGTGTTAGGAGGGAGTGAAGTAAACAAATTCATGATCATAATTGCAGTGTTTGGAAAGCAGATTAGATTGAAATGTGTATTATACTTATTAGTCTTACAAACTAAGTGCCCCATTTCAGTGAATTTATTGTGAGGAAAAAAAGAAAGGATATGTACAATGATAAAACTACAGATTTCACAGTGGTGTTCAAAATAGTAAAAGAATGAAATAAATCTAAACACCCAACAATAGAGAATTAATTGAATAAATTGATAATGCATTTGTGTAATGTGAATCTTTGAACTCTTTGAAAAGTATATAGAAATCTGTTTCTTGGCTCAAAACTGTTTAAATACAGAAAAACTATAAAAACCAATTACATTTTTAAAATAGTCACTTTTTGTTAGGAAAATGTATATCAGTATCTCGTATCCATACGTACAGAAAAGGAAGGAGGTTTAGGTAAGTTTGCTGAAATGCTTATAGTAAATGGGAAGAAAAACATATAAAGGTTTGTTTTCCGGTTTTTATATGGAACATTTTTTATTTCAAGAGGCAGGCAGTAAAATAAATACTTTGACATTAAATTCATTGAAAAATAGAGACACTGAATCATTTTATATGATTTCTTTTTGTTTAAACCATAAATCAGGCTTTTTTCTAACATGTACAGTTTTGAGTAATAACTTTTAAATTTTCTACTGGTATTTATAAATCAATTTTTTTGTTCTTTTTTTAGGTTATTGTATCAATGAGTGTAGCATTTGCTCAACAGACTGAACTATCTAGGTTATCTAGGGGAAAAGAAAACACAACATCATTAAAACAAGCACACATTCTCTGTCAGCAAGAAGAAGAGCATATTGGTGAAGTAAAATCATCGCAGGGGCAAGTTAGTCTTCAGACTTTTGAGGAAATGGAAATGAAATTTAAAAAAGAATATAAACCACTCAGTAAAGAGTTAGAAGATGGACAGGAAGTTGTGTTATCAAGCAATGGTGATTTTGATGATGTTCTAGAACTAAAGGACCATGGACTGACTATTTCAGAAGAGTTATTTTCTAATGATGAATCATTTATTGTCAAAGAATCTGTAAGTAAAGATTTAAAAAGAAAGGGCTTGGGATTTATTATTATTATTTGGGAGGGGACGGGGATTTAGCTCAGTGGCATAAGCGCCTCCCTGGCAAGTGCTAGGTTGTGTTTGATCCCTGGTATTAAAAAAAAAAAAAAAAAGATTAAAAAGTAAGCAATAGTGCTTACTGGAGCATGAAAATATCAAGTCTGATTTTGATTATGATTCACATTATTATTGTGGTTTTATTAATTGAAAAGTGTATAGTTAAATGATAAAATATTAGTAAAAAATAAAATAAATCTGATTTATAATATAGTGATTGTTTAGAGATATTGAACAAATTAGAATAGCATTTTAACTTACACCTGCACTAATTTTATTTCAACTAAATCAAGAGCACTTGTATATAATTTGACAATATCTGTGATGAAAAGATCTGCTCAGTAAATATAAGAGCATATAAGGAAATGCCAGCCTCCTTAGAAGACAATCTAAAGCATTTCTGTGTGTCTATACTAATATTATCTCATCCCCACTCTTCTTTTCCTCCCTCTCTCTATTTTCCTCTAGATGTTGTACTGGAAATTGAACCCAGGGCCTGCACATACGAGACAGCAATCTAACACTAAGCTGCAACCTCAGCTCCCCTGCCCCTATATTTGTTCTAAATTTTGAGACAAAGCCTCTGAGTTGCCCAAGCTGGCACTGAACTTGCAGTTCTCCTGCCTCCATCTTCCAAGTAGCAGAAATTTAAATGTGTGCCATCATGCCTGGCACATTAATCCCCTTTTATTTATTCATTAGTGTAAGATCATTACACTAATGTTACCTCAACTGTTTCTTAACTAACAGAAAATAGTAAGTCTTTTTAAGTGATCTGAATGCAGATTTGTTATCAATGTTCAGAGGCATGTCTTATTCAGAGATGTATTCCAATAAAATTATCAGCTCTCTATGGAATATAAAATTTATATTAAAGAGATTCGTGAAAACCTTTAATTTACCAGTAACTGTTAAACAATTAAACAGCAACTGTTAAACTGTTAAACTTTCAGGAGTTGAAGTACTCATAAGACCCATTCTCTTCTTTTGAGAAACCAACATATAATAAAGCTTTTGTTTCCCATTAAAAACTTACTGAAATTTTTCTTAACAAAGACATCTCTATAATACTGTGGTAACCACTGCATAATATAAATTAAATAGGTAAAATTTCTTATGTTGCTTAAATTTAATTTTAAGATATGAATATTCATATTTTTTTCCATCATAAAATGTCGAGGATAATGAGGCTAGAGCTTCAATAAGAGGAGGAAGCTATGGGTCTGAGAATTTAACTCAGCGGCATAAGCACCTGCCTTGCAAGCAGGCAGTCGTGAGTTCGATCCCTGGTACTGATAAAAAAAGAGGAGGAAGCTAGGTGTGATGATGCAAGTCTGTAATCATACCCACTCAAGCTGTGAATCACAAGTTCAAGACACCCTAAGCAACTTAGCAAGACCCTGACTCAAAATCAAATTAAGAAGGGTAGGGAAATAGCTCAGTGGTACAATGCTTGCCTAATGTGCAAGCCCGAGTTCAGTTCCTAATACCACCACCAAAAAAGGGAGAGGAAGAGAGAGAGAAAAAAAATAGGAGTCTAGAACATCTTTATTTTTCTTCTTCAAAAGTAAATTTAAACTAAACTAATAATAGCTGCTTTCATTCTTTTGGAAAATAGCATAATGGTGATAAACTGAGTTCATGCTGTTTGGGAACTATTAGATAAGAGAAAGGGGATCAGGAACCAGAGAGTGAATGGTAGAGAGGAAAGTAATGGGAAAAGTATGCTCAAGGTATATCAGATACATCTGTGAAAATGCAACAACAGACCTCATTGCTCTATAATCTATATGCACTAATAAAAATACCTTTCAAGAGTTAAGCTGCTTTATTGAGTTAGATTTGTTTTCATAGTTATCAATGCAAACAGATTTCTATAAAATGTGTTAAACTGTGTGAATCTTTTTTAACTATTTTAAGATCCATGATGAGATGTTGGTATCGAGCATGGATGCTTCCAGACAGCTGATGTTACACGAAGAACAGTTGGAAGATATGAGGCAGGAACTTGTGCGACAATATGAAGAGCATCAGCAGGCAACAGAACTGTTGAGGCAGGCACACATGCGCCAAATGGAGAGACAGCGAGAAGACCAGGAGCAGCTTCAAGAAGAGATTAAGAGACTTAATAGACAGTTAGCGCAGGTATGGGATTTACAGTCCCTTTTCTCTGCAATTAAAATAATAGTATTCTTTGTGTAGCTTTTCTAAAAGGCAGAATTAATTTGTCAAGATCTTAATATACTACAAATATTTAACATCAAGAGTATACTCCACTAGCACACTGGCTTTAGATTGCATCAGGTACAATGTGCATTGTGTTTCAGGCTCTGGAAAAGTGGCTCCATGGTTAGTTTTTAATCATTAATCATTCTATTGAGCATACATGCCGAAAATACTCCAACAGTTTTGGAAATACACTGTGCTGAGCTGCTTGCTGTCATCCAGTTTTCCTATTTTCATTTATTGTTCTGTGAGTCCATCAGTTAGCATCTCCGTGGTTTACCTTTATCTATCTTTAATCCACCTTTTTAATCATGAATGGAAATCTGAAGTAGTATGTTTCTGGAACTTTTTCTAGGAAAACTCTTGTTGATTTGAGAAATGCAAATTTTATATAACATTCTTATTTCTTGACTAAATTTAATTATATTCTGTGGTACTTGGGACCTGGATTCTTGTCAATTGCTATAAAAAATATACTTAACAAGTCATTGTAGAAAAGCAAATATGTAAAGTATCTTAAGAAAACCTATTGAATTTAATTTTGAAAACTAAAATGTTAAGAAATACAAAACTCTTAATATATATTCTTTTAAGTATAAAATAAAATTGAGATTTAAAATTAAAGTATAGCATTTGGAAAAATCATTTTTGCTTTTCTTCAGTGTTTTTCATGAATTCAGACTTCTGAATTTTCAATGCAAAATTGACATATAAAAGTATCAATTGAACTACACAAATTCCTGAATATTTAAGCTTAAATTTTTTTTCTTAAGCTATCGGATTGGTACACAACTGTAATTCCAGTACTCAGAGACTGATGCAGAATTGTCACAAGTTCAAGGCCAGCTTGGGCTACATAGTGAGTTCAAGGTCAGCCTGAACTACATAGAAGACCCTATCTCAATAAACAGAAACTCAAAAAAAGTTTTTTAGGTTTCAAATTTTGCATTGAACTTTGTATATGCCTTTTAACCCCTCTAAAATAGAATATGAATCATAGATAATTAGATCAAGGGGTTAAAAGAAATCTGCTTAATGTTTCTGCTCTTTCCCTCTATTGCAAACAATATTCTTTCATGACCTTTTTTCTTATTTAGAGATCCTCAATAGATAATGAAAACCTGGTTTCAGAGAGAGAGAGGTTGCTTTTAGAGGAGCTGGAAGCACTAAAGCAGCTGTCTCTAGCTGGAAGAGAGAAGCTGTGTTGTGAGCTGCGCAACAGCAGTACGCAAACACAGGTAGTATGGACTTTGGCCCACTTAGGAGCAATGGAGCAGCAATGCAGTAGGATTTGTTTGACTTTGTTGGTGGTATAACATGTATTTTTATAGCTGAGCTTAACATATTTGTGGCTGCTTACATGTAAGGTAGGTAGAGTCAAAATATCTATTTAAGGTAATTTCACTCTGGCATCGTTACAGTAGCACCTGTTGTTTTACAAAGAAGTATCCTTGTCTCACTATGTAACATGTAGTTGAACCCATTAAAACGTTCCATCTGTGCACTGGAATATTTTATCTCATTTTGATATTGTTAATCTTTTAAAAATACAATTAAATATTATTTCAAGCAGTATGCACTATTGCACAGAGGTTCTGTTTCACCTCATACCCTTATGCAGAATGACCCACTCTTTCCAAAATGACAGGTTTCCTTTCTGTTTTCTGCTCTCTGCCTTTTCACAAACTGAAACAGAATGGAAATGAAAACCAAGTGGAAGTTGAGGAACAGATGTTTAAAGTAAAGGAACTGGACAGAAAACCTGAAGATGTGCCTCCTGATATTCTTTCCAATGAGAGGTATGTAAAATATGCACTTTTTTAGTGCAATTAAAACTGTTGCAAAGTAATAAACTATCTGTCCTTATTTTTATCTTGTACATATTTACCCTGTCTTAAAATATCATTGTTCTATTTGTATGAAACATATCCATACATGTAAAGGAATGTCAGCTTTTGATCCTTCAGTAGACAAATTCTTTAAAAGCTATTTGTATGTAATTTTTTATTAGACAGCTATCTCTTCAGTCTTGATGTTTAGGTATTATTCAGTTATCAGATTTTTCTTCATTACTTATGTTCAGTGTCATTTTGTATCTTAAAAGCAAGTTCTATTTACAAGCTTGATTTCTTCTCCATCCCTAACCCTAACCCTAACCCTAACATTCAGAGTAAGCTATTCCGTAGTTTATCCTTATTTTTGAGGAAATATTTCTATTTACATGTAGCTTTTTCATGTATTTTCAGTAAAATACAGAGAATTTTTAATCCATCTTCCAGTTTTAGGGAAAAATAAATCATCCACTGTTAACAAAACTTTTCCTTTCATAGATTTTTTTAAAGGTTAATATAAAAATGTAAATACTATAAAAGTGGCTATCTCCCATTAATATTAAAATCTTTAAGCATAATGTTTTAAATTTTATATTGTTCAAATAAAAATAATTTCTTTAATTTTAAACTAAAACTAATACCTACTAACTTAATTTCCTCCTTTTCCAATTTCTGTACTGTCAACCCTTATGTGTCCTCCTAACCTCCTTCCTCAGCTTGCATGGAGGAATTTGGCCCCTAAGATTTTGGCTTCCCCATTGGATCATCAGTATGGAACGCAGTCAGTATGGAACTCAAACAAGAAAGACAGTGTATGAAAATTAGAGTTACCATGCCAATATAAAATAAACATTGTGTTTATTTTATATTATTTATCACTAATTTATATATTTTACAAATTATAGTGCTTATAGGAATTTCATAGTCAATGCTGATAAAATGAATGTTCATTTTTCTTTTTTGTCATTATATTCATTTTAATAATTTAAATAGAAATATTTTCATGTTACCCTCCTGGGATTTGAGACTTAGTTAAAAATCTTAGTAGTAGGAGCTAAAGATATAAAACCTTTTACTTCTTACTAAATTACTACAAGTTTTGTTCTGATTATACTTGCTTATATAAACAGAGAACTTGATCTAGGCACAAAAATAGAACTGTCTCTTTCACTTGACAAACACTAAAGCTCCTTTTATTACATTGTCTTAAAATAGGTGTTCCATGTGCCTGTGAAACAGATATCCTTTAACCTACTTATAGTAGCCCCTACAATGTGAAGTGATTTTGAGAACAAAAGCTCTTAAGCCTAGAGACCTCTTCTATGAAAATCTCTTTATTGTATCTACATGCATTTAAGTATAAAGTTTGCTACTGTAGTACTTCCATTGAAGTAAGCTGTTAGAATGAGTAAATTGTTAAGTTAAGGGAATTAGTCAGATAATCTTTTGAATTACTATTTATGGAAGTGAATTTCTTGATGTGGTAAAATATTCTTGTTAAGCTAAAAAAAATAACTTTACAGAAACACTTTCTAGAGTGGTCGCATTTTTGTTTTTAAGGTGTATATGTTTTATACTTGTTTGGATGGGGAAATCTCTAGAAATATAGACATTTTAATATACATATGGTTATCTCTAAGTGCTGATGTATTTTAAAGGATAGTTAACAGTATTTTAATTTAAAATATATATATATTATTTATCTTTTTAAAAAAGAGACACTATTATTTCTATTTAGGTGAAAATAGGTTTTTTTCTTCTAGCTCAAGAGTGTTACATGTGTAACTAGAGGTGTTTTTGTTTAAAGCAGATATAATAAAAATGGCCTGTAGTAGTCCCCATGGTGTTGGCAGGTTGCAATTTCACTGTAGAGCTTTTTAAAAATAGATCTCTGTTGCTGTTCGTAATCTAACCATTATTTACCCTTGTTAATATAGTACCACTTTTTTTCCTAGTGATACTTTGAAATTTTATTTCCAATTACATTTTAAAATGTTATTTGGCACATAAAAAGATGAAATGTAAATATGTGTGTGAATAACTGTAAATAGTGTTACAAGCTCAATAATTTACTGTGTTTGGGTATTATCTTTTCTAAACTTAAGTTTTACCTCATTAAAATTTTTTCTGATTAAGTTACTAATTTGAAAGTTCAATTGTTTGATTTATTTCAGGACAGCAAAACATTTTTTAGTATTAGTGAAACATTTTTAAAAGGTCCATAAAACATTTTTAAAATGTTATAATTAATCTGGTTAAAATTTTTAGAAAACAATTCATTTTATAATATAATTTCACAATAAATCAGAAACAAGAAGTACTTCACTGAAAGTGCTGTTGCATAGTATTATAATAATATATATTTTTCCAGGGACATACAGCATTTTCTATTGCATTTTTAATGCAATATTAATGAAATATATACTTTTACATTTTAACGATTCTTGTCTGTACAGGTATGCACTCCAGAAAGCTAATAACAGACTCTTAAAGATCCTTTTAGAAGTTGTTAAAACAACAGCAGCTGCTGAAGAAACAATTGGTCGCCATGTCCTTGGGATTCTAGATAGATCATGTAAAGGCCAGTCATGTAGCAACCTGGTTTGGAGGTCAGAAGCAGAGGCATCAGTAGTAAAGTCCTGCGTCCAAGAGGAACACACAAGAGGTACTAGTTTCATATGATATTTAAGTAGTCTTCTTCAACAAATACTGCAGAGTTAAGGCACTTTTCTATGTGTGGAAAATATGGATGAGACAATAGTGAAGTATGTATTTTCTAGCAAATGTACTTCTAAACACAAATACATTAAAGCCACTCTTCAAAACACATTCATCGTATAGCAATTGAAAGTCTGTGCCATAGGGTTGTCTTCATACACACCCATGTCCCATAGGTCATGCTGTTCTTACATAACCCAGAAAGACATTTCACTTCTCCACTTACAAATGGAATAATCTGCATCCTTACTCAGGACTTCTATGACCACCATATAAAATAAAGAGCTCTTAGAAATCCAGCAGCAGAAAAAGGCCCTTTTAAGAAACCCACATCTTGCTCTTTTATTTTGGACTGTCTTCTGCTAGATCCTTTTCTTCCTTTTGGAAAAGTGGTTTGAAATAGGACAATATGTGAGGTTCTAGATATTGGGTCCTGATACAATGTAAGCATCTTCCTGATCCTGTCTTTCTGTAGCTGAGTGGGCCAGGGTCTTCAGGGTCTTTTTTTCTGACTTCCAATATCTCTTCCTTTTTTAACTTGTTATTCCTTATTGGAGGAAAAAACTTAAGATATCGATTAGAAAATTTTGCAAGTGCAAAAAGATGGGGCCTTAATTCTTGAAGTAGGAAGTCAAACCTATTTTTCCCACCTATTGCTTACCCAAACCCTTCTCTCCAGGAAGAGACAGATATTTGGAAATGTTTGTATAATATTTGCAACCTTTTGTTTGTTAAGCTTAGTGTGAAGAAATGGGAAAAAACTTCCAATTATTGAAGGATTGCCTAATTGCAGCTTGGCCAGAACTGTGTTTCTAGGTACAAAAAAATGTTTGATTTGGAATTTAAAATAAAGTTGATCTAGAAACAGCTTACTCAAGTTCAAAGATACTTTTAAAAGCTGTTTTTTAGTAACATAAGGTGCAAAATAATACTGAATTTTAAACCTTCCTTTCAAATTCACTCTTTTCACACTTGGTAAAAGTATTTTCACATTAACTTCACTCTTGGTTAGGGTCTAAAGAGCTGTTATTATTTCTGTTTATGGAACTTGATTTATAGAAGAGAATATTTTAAGACATTTAAAACTTGTAAATGTTTTTACCAAAGTACACTTTTATAAAAAGTTAACTGATTTCACTTAATCATCAAGGGAGGAATTTTAATATTCTACTGTTATATTCAAGACCATATTGACTCCTAATACAAAGGAATGTTCTGTAGATTTAAAAAACATTTCGTGCTTTTTTTGTTAGCAGTTCTCATGGATTTATCTCAGAATGATTGTTGAAATGCTGCGAAAAAAGCAGCACACTCACTTGTAGAGCAGTGTGCTCAGTCATAAAAAAGAATAAATTGGTAGTTTTTCTCAAATCTGGAGGATCATGTTTATGTACATTTTCTTTGAAAAGCAGACCTAACAGGACATTTCATCCACTCACCTACTTTCCTTATAGTTATATCTAAATTGTCCAGTATAGCACTACACATTTAAAAACACCAACGTTGGTTTTTCAGTTGTAAGGAATTTTACAGTTCACTTTTGTAAACAGTTATTGTCTAGAAATTATATGTTTTGTGTGTATGTGTACATACGTTTGTATCAAGTTCTTTAAGAGTTATTTGACTGTTGATGGATTAAGAAAGAACAGTATTATGATAACAATTTAAAAAAATCCACGGTAATTCCAGCACTCAGAATGCTGAGGCAAGAGAATCCTTGCAAGTTTGTGACCAGCCTCGGCTACAAAGTGAGCTCAAGGCCAGCCTGAATTGCATAGAGAGATCATGTCTCAAAAAGAGGAAAAAAAAAAAAAAAAAAAAAAAAAAAAAAAAAAACTACAGTGTTTAGAATATTACAGGAGAGATAATTTTGCTGGTATCAGTATCATTGGTTACAACTGTGTACCTTCTGTTTAACTCAATCTTCATGGTTTATTTTTAGTGATGGTATCTTGATCTTACTAATAAAATTATGATAACCCATATATTATAGAAAAGCATATGTCAGACCCATTTTCCATTTTGAGACTATATTTTATTAGTAGAATTTATGATGTAAAACATTCAGTTTTTAAAATGAAAGTGGTGGCTTTAAAATATTGAAAATGTAAAACAAAAAATATTAAAAATGTGCTGCATGTGTAAGAATTTTTTTGGCAATCCTTCATTTTTTCCACTTCTTATTTTTAGTGAAAATACTATCATGAAAGCTAAAATATACTTTTGAATATTTCTTTTTAATATCTTAATGTAATAAAAATGTAATCTATCTGCTTACAAAATGACTTTGCTTTTCAGATTTTTATGTATGACTTTTATTGTGAGACTTGTAATCTGTTTTCTGCCTTCGAGTTTGAACTTGTTTAGATTGTTAACAGTCAAAAAACAAATAACTTATTTGCTGATATTTTCTTATTTGTAAGAGTAAACTGGCTTATGAAACTGACAGGAAATTTTTGAGCCAATGTAAAATCACTTCAACAGGCAAATGTTGGATTAGTTCATAAAAATGAACTCCCCAGGTTGTGATGAAAGAAAATTTCCTTTATACCTGTATGGTGTTAATTAGGCAATGGAATGGTCACTCCAAATTTGGCACATTTAATAAGAAACTGGACTAACTCATATTCAGTAGCTGCATTTTCTGTTTTTAAGATTCTCTCAGAGTGCACTGACCTCTGAATCCTAAGAACCAGAGTATCTTCTCAATACTTGACTGTCTGTCTAGGCACACGATGGCATTGAAGTCTTTACTTTTGAAATCCTTTCATAGCTGTTGGAGTATCTCTCTCCTATTTCTAGTCTTTTCAATATAGCCTCTTTTTTTACTTACGATTTACAGGTGTTTCAACTTTGTTTTTATTCTCTAAGTATTATTTCTAAAGCAAATGTGTCCTTTCTATATTGTTTTTCTCTCATCTTTCTACAAATGACTCCTAAGTCTGTTGACTCAGGTTTTCAACAGTTTACACATCTGCACATATCCAGACTAGTCATTTTTGGACTAGTCATTTTTCATGCCTACCATATATACTTTCTTCTGATTTTTGTAGTATTTCTCTTAGTTAATCTTGTCATTGAAGAAGTATTTAAACTGAAACCTGAAATCATCTTTTATTTCCTGCCCTATTTTATATACACTCATTCTTTCAGCTCCTGTATCTTGCCAACCCACTTCTAACCAAAGGACTTTATTTCATGTCCTCATCACGTCCAATCTGACGTTATTGAAATAGCTTTGTAATCAGTCTTTTTCAGCTTTCCTCTGCATTGTTATAGTTTGCCTCCTGATTTTAGATCTGACATTATCTTCTTGGTAAAAATAATGTATTACTCTTTGCATTGTTCATAGCAAAACCCCAAAGTTTCTGTAAAATCTCAGCCTCTTCACCAGTTGGCTTCAGCCTACTTTCTAGTTACGTTCTTTAAGCTTCTACTTTATCCCCCTTTTCCATGTATATCTGCTCTGTACAGTCTAGAGTCTCCAGCATAGCATTCTTTTTTCTTTGCCTCAATCTCTGGAGCACGAGAAAAAAAAGGTCACTCAAGTGCATTAATTCCTTAAAGATGCTATGTGACATAGGCTTTGTTAGTTTAAGCTGCAACTAAAAACTATTAGTATTTCTTGCTTCCATTACTTCTTCAAAATATTTTCTAGACTATAGTAATTTGATTTACCAAACTTATACTATATATTATACCGTACTTTGTAATAGTTGCAAAATTACGTTGAAGTATTTATAATATTTTAGTCTCAATTGTCAAGGCATTTAGGATTGAGCACATGAAATAATACAGTAAATACTTGTGTAGTTTGCTTTTTATGTGAATAATATGAATACAAAACAAAAATTGTATTAACTGTTAGACTAAGAATTAGAATTAAATAAATTTGTATGTAATGATAGACATTAAAAATCATATTCCAAGCAGTTTTTGACTCTTCAGCTCATAACTTAAAGAAGTGTTTAGTAAATATTGAATTGTCTGAATTCTTTTAAATTTTATTGAAAAAAACTAAAAATTTCATAACAAAATAATAGGAGAATAATGATAGTTAATACATTTAGTATTACTATCTTTAATTACTCAGAGTGCAACATATGGGCATAAAAAACCTTTCCTTTTAGTGAACTAAGAGACACTAGTAGTATAACTAACTTGCATTTTTTTCCTTTTCCCTTCCTTCTTTTCTCCTTTCCTCCAAACTAGTTTCTTTCTCCTTTTAAATAATTTCTTCCCATATAACAACATCTGTTGTACATTTTGGACCTTATTAACTTTCAATTTCTCATACCAGGGAGACAGTATGTTATTTACATTTATGAGTCTGACTTATTTCACTTCTAAGTGCAGTTTCAAGTTGCATCCATTTACCTATAAGTGCCTCAAGTTTATCCTTCTTTGTAGCTGGGTAGCACTGTATTGTATAAAAGACCACATCTTTTTTATCCATCCCTCAGTTGATGTGCATTTGGGTTGTTTCTAAGATATAGCTATTACAAATTGTACTGCTATAAACATGGGTGCTCTGTGGTGTGTCTTTGATTCTTCCAGAAGATACCCAGAAGGGGAATAGCTAGATCAAATGGGACCTCTAATCCTAGTTTTTTGAAGAATGTCTGCACTGATTTCCACAGTGGTTGCACTAGTCTACTTTCCTTTTTCTCCATAGTTCCTCCAGCATTTGTTGTTGGTTGATTTCTCAATGATAGCTGTTCTTTCTGGAGTGAGATAGAATCTCAGTGTTGTTTTAATATGCATTCTCGAATAGCCAATGACGTCAAACAGTTTTTCATATATTTGCTATTTGTATTTCTTCATCTGTGAAGTGTGTATTTATCTCAGATGCCCATTTTTGGATTGGGTCTTTGAACTTGGGTCTTTTTTTTTTTTTTCCAGTTCTTTATGTATTCTGATGAGATCTCAGTTGTTCTTTGAAGTATTTCCTATGTGATCTGGGTTTTATTTATGAACTGTCTGCCTACACTTGTGCCTTCAAGATTTCTACCTACTTTGTCTTCTGGTAGATTTAATGTTTGTTTTAATGTTTAGATCTTTGATCCATTTTGATTTTAGTTTAGTGCATGGTGATAGACATAGATCTAGTTCTAGTCTTTAAGCATGTGGAAAACCAGTTTTTCCAGCACCATTTATTACAGAGGTTATCTTTCTTCCAGTGAGTGTGTTTAGGGTTGTGTCTGCATCTCCTAATCTGTTCCATTGATTCTCAGGTCTGGTTTTTTATTGTTTTGGTTTAGTTTTTTGTTCGTACAATTCTGATTTTTATCGTAGTAGCTTTGTAATACAGTTTCAAATTAGGGATTGTGATGCCCCCTCCCTTGCCTTTGTTGCCCAGAATTGCTTTTGCTATTCTAGGTCTCTTCTGTTTCCAAATGAATTTTAGGAATGTTTTTTCTAGTTGTCTGAGGTATGCTAATGGTATTTTGATCAAGATTTCTTTAAATCTGTATATGAATTTTGGGAGTATATCATTTTCACTTTTTTTTAATGAAACTTGAGCAAGGGGTATTTTTCCATTTTATGATATTCTCTTGTGCCTCGTTTTTCAGAGTACAGTAATTTTTAGAGTATAGATCTTTTATTTACTTTGTTAGATTTAGAATTCAAATCTTTTATCTGAAGATGCATCTGACATCATTATTATATGAGGTTGCAAGAACTCTGTGCACCAGCTTCTTTGCCAAGATGAGTCCTAATTGCTCTTACTGTGAGTGGAAGTATCAAACTGAATATTTAATTTAAGTACCTTGGACATTAAAACTTCCTCTGCTTTGTTAACTGTGTATATTTACCAATAACTAGTATGTACTAATGTAATAAAACAATAGATAATTCATCTTTGGGAAATTTTCTGGTTGAGTTGTGGCATGCTGCCATTGATGATGACTGCATTACAGGGCAGAGATGAATAGCCTATCTTTTTACTTTAGTTTAGAGAAGGCACTTGCAAAGCTAACCTTCTGCCCATATAAATTCAGTTTTCCTGTGTAGGAATTATATAGTGTTGATAATGATACAGTGTCAGTAATTAAATTAGAACTGTTTGTTAGGGGGCTGGGGATTTAGCTCAGCGGCATAAGCACCTGCCTTGCAAGCAGGCAGTCGTGAGTTCGATCCCTGGTACCGATAAAAAAGAAAAAGGAAAAAAAAAAAAGAACTGTTTGTTAGTCTAACCCCATGCCAGTGTACCTCTTACCAAAATAGTAAGCTGTAGATTTATCTTTTCCTTTTTACTGTGTATCCCAAGCAAGTGATGCTGCCCACAGGAGAGCTCAAGAGTCAAAAGGTCTGCTCCAGACAAATACAAGCCCTTACTCTGTTTCTTTCTCTGTACCTGGAACATATCATAGGATCTGTTTCTGTATACCTATTTATGTATTTGTGTTCTTATTACACTGTGAAGTCCTTGAGGATAGGAACCAGGTCTTGTCACCTGTATGTCCCATTACTTAACAAACTACATGGTGGACATGTTAAGTGTCTATTAAAAGTTGTCTTAAAAGTTTTTATCAGACCTGTTCTCCCTGTGTTTGGGAGGCTGAGGCAGGAGGATAGCTGTGAGTTTGAAGCTAGCCTGAACTACATGGTGACTTCAAGGCCATCCCTAGACTATATTAATGAGACTCTGTCTTTAAAAAACAAGGAAAAAAGTTTCTCTCAGGCAGGGAGTACAGCTTAGTTGGTAGCCTGCTTTTGATCCCCAGCACCCTCAAAAAATTTCATAAAAAAAATACCAAATACCCAAATACTATTTTTTATAGTCTTACTAGCATAGCATTATCCCTCTCATTCCTTCTTATTTAGTTACTCAGTAGTATTACATTGTATATGTACATATTTTACTTGTTTTGTTGCAATGCTGTTATTAAAAAACCGTATAATATTAATACTTACAAATTTTAATTAGGGTTGATTTTGTACTTTACAGTATTATAATCATTAGTTAAAACTGAGTGATGCCTTTAACATAGCTGTTATTCCAGTTACAGATGAATCCATACCCTCTTATCCTGGAAGTGACATGCCAAGGAATGACAGTAGCGTGTGGTCAAAGGTACCTGAGGAAGAAACAGACCTGTCACAGCGACTTGTAAGGAGTGGTTTTGTGGAAACTGAGATAGACCCTGAAAATGAAGAGCTTATGCTGAACATTAGCTCTCGACTACAAGCAGCAGTTGAAAAACTTCTAGAAGCAATAAGTGAAACAAGTAGTCAGGTAACCTCCTTAATTTGCAAGTATCTACTGAGTTTGAAGCAGATATGCTTTTATACCATGGGGTGATTAAATGTTTCTGTCTGCTGTCCCACAGAAATTCAGTTAATTGTATTTAAGACAGTTGGTCCTGATCATGTTTTCATGTCATGTAATGCATTAATGGACTTTTCCACTTTGAAAATTCAGTGTTTTTCTTAGTTACTTCCCTTGTTGCTGAGACAAAATACCTAGTACCAAAGCTGAAGGAGAAAAGTTTTGGCTCACAGTTTGTAGAAGTAGCAGTTCATAGTTCATAATGGGTAGAAAACAGGGGGACACTTAACATGAAATTATTCAATATGGCATGTTTTTGCGATAGCAATATCTATTGATTGTAGCACCTGTGACAAATATTGTTAAACATTTTGCATTTTAATACCAGGTTTATTTACTTTAAGGATTAAGTTATTGATAATAGGCTGTTTCTTGAGTAAATGATGCTTAAAAGGATTTATTAATTACCTATTATTTTGGTCAGCATCATTATCAACTTTTTTTTTTTTGGTAACTTGTTACTAACATTCAGTGAGGAAAGCATTATCAAAACAATATATATATCCAATGAAATATTTGTCTTCCATGTAGTCTTCAGATATAATATTTAACTAGAATTTTCCCCAAGTTTATTCTTCTAAATAAAATTTTAAAATTAAGAAACAAAAAAGGTTGTTTATTTTGTAGACAATCAAAATCCTATTTGAGATAGAGTGTAAATGATACTTTGAAGAGCAGAAGAATTCAGAATTACCACATTATAGTGAGAATTCTTTAATCAGCCAGGGAAATATATATCTGCTGCTGCATTTCTAGACTATAACTTGATTGACTTGCCAGAAATAGAATTCTAATGATATAACACATAGTTAGCTAACAAAAGAAATTGCCATCCTTTCTTTGTTTTTCTGGAGCTTTCATTCATAGCATGTATATATTATTGAGTGCTTCTACTGCTGTAATTCAAAATCTCTTTCAGTATCACAGATAACTAAAAGACTTGTAATGCTCTTAAAAACTCAACCATTTTTATATTTACTCATAGTTGAAAGATTGTCTTGATTAGTGCAAATAGCAATGGTGGCCCATCTTTCTTTATAATCCTGAAGAAGCATTTTTCGTTACTAACATCCTAAATGCTATTAAGAAGATGACACCAATAAAAACAAGCTCCAGCTATTCATAGTGATACATGAGGGCACCACTCAGAAGGCTGAAGCTAGTGAATTTGAAATTTGAGGCCATCCTGGACTATTTAGAGAGATCCTGTTACAAAGTTAAATTTTTTAAAAAGGGGCAGGGGAGGGGGGGATGTGGAGCTTAGCACTCCCTAGCAGTACCACAAAGAAAAATTTTAACACCAAAAATCAAACAAAAACCTAGCTTCATTTGTCTTATAACTAGGCATTAAATCATACCCTTAGATCAAAGGACTAATGTTTTTTCTTCAACCTAAGGTTCAGAAGACTTAAAACATAAATGCTGTATCACAAGATGAAATTCCATATCTAATGAAAGAAAATACACATTTTCTACCAACACTTACATTTTTTTGTCTTTTCTAATTACCCTAAATTCTGGGTTGACCATATAAATTACTTTTACAGTATGCCAAGTCAACTGAATTAATTCTGATATTTTCATTGGTCCTTGTTAAGCACTCTTAAAGCTTCAGTGTATACACATTGTATTTACCCATTTTATCCAGGAACTCTTCATATATTAGAAATTACTCTTTACTAAATTACTACAGGATAGTTTTTTTTAATTTTAGTTTTGGATTTCTCTTTATTTCAGCTATATTATTAATATTAGTACTTTGTGTCTTTTTCCTTTTTATCGGTACCAGGGATCGAACCCATGACTGCCTGCTTGCAAGGCAGGCGCTTATGCCTCTGAGCTAAATCCCCAACCCCCGTTGTGTCTTTTTATACCATGAAAATAACTGTTACTACTTTTTGGCCGATGATTAAATACTATTGACCTGAATGTTGATCAGTGTTGTTTTTTTGTTTTGTTTCTGTTTTTTGTTTTTGTTTTTTTTTACAGGTAAAACTAATTTTAGTAATTGTTTAGTTCAGTATGTTAAAGATACTATCATTTTGTTTGTTTGTTTGTTTTGTCTTTTTGAGGCGGGGTCTCGCTATGCAGTTCAGGCTGGCCTTGAGCTCACTTTGTAGCCCAGGCTGGTCTTGAACTTGAAACGATCCTCCTGTTTCAGCCTCCCGAATGCTGGGATTACAGGCATGAGCCATCACGCCCGGCTAAGATACTATCATTTTAACAAGAAAATGATTTTAAACAATTTTATGGAGAGTGGGATTGAACTTAGGGCCATTGCTCTGAAGTATACATTGACAGCTTTTTTAAAAAAGTTTTTAAAAGTTATTTTAAAAGAGATAAAGCAATAAAACAGAACAATATTGAGTTTCAAAACTAAACAGAAGGAAATCCCCCACAGTTCCTATATTGTATATTATTATCCTCTGAATAGATCCTCAGACTACCAGCCTTAGGCCTGCAAAATCAGTCGAACAGTATAACAATTAAGTTGTTTTTTTACTTCAGTAGCTATCATCTCAGTCTGTATTTCTCCGAATTAGCCAGTTGCTTCTGGGAGAGGGGGGACTGGGCTCTTGTGGTCTCCCAGCATGCATGCTGACTGGCTCACAGAAGGGGGTTGATTTTTGGGTTCTCCTCCCTGCCAGTATGGCTGCCATTGGCTCCCAGGAGGGCATTGGCTTCTTGATTCTCCTCCTAGTCCACAGCTGCTGCTGGCTCACTGGAGGGCTTTGAAGTCTTATCACTGTTAATCTTGTTGCTATTAATTTACTCCATTGTAAAGTATAGGCAGCCTAACTAATGTAATAAAGTATTTATCTTTTGATAAGCACCATGAAGAAATGTAAATAACTCTCACATGATCAGCAGTTCCTGCAGGCAGTGAGAGAAAAACTTACCCATAATCACTGGTACTGCCCACAGTCAAGTGTGCGGGATCTGTCTCTATTCTCAGGCTTGTAACAACTATTTTTTACATTACCAGATACTCTGGTACAGTACTGTGACGGTGGCATTTTCTAGATTATTTTCGGTTAAATACTAAGTTAGCATGACTGTTTAGCCTTAATTCTGTTGCTCAGCTCTAAATATCACTAAACAAAACATAGAAGCTTGATGTAGAGCATGCCAGGGATATTTCAAAGCACAGCCCCAGAACTAGCAGTACATTATCACTTGATAACTTATTCCAAGTGTGAATTTTCAGACCCTGTCCCAAAACTTCTGAGTATTGGTATCTAGAAACCTGTGTTTTAAGAAGCCCTTTAGGTGACTCTGATGTACCCACTGACCTAGAGATGGTTAGTATTGTGTTCATGTTACTCAGCCTTACTTTTGCAGTCCTTTTTTTTTTATCTATTATATAAAAGGTTGCATTAGTTGTGGACATTAAGTATACAAAATTACAAAACTGAGGTACTTTTAAGTGAACTATATTTTAAAGAAGAGATGCTTTGTGAAACTTCAGGGTGAATGTAGTTCAGTTATTTGTAAGTATGGATTGATGTTTAAAACCATGACTTCTGCAGAATATGCTCATAAATAACTACATGATTTTGACCTTGATGAATATTTTTGTCAGGTAGATTGACACAAACATAATGTCTGGTATCTTTGTGAAATAACTAGTATTTCATTTTCCTCTTAAATGTGTCATCATATGGCTCTTCCTCATAATAAAACGTTCTCTTTAACCATGAGAGAGCTACAAGGCATTGCTGATATCTTGATGCTTATCACAAAAGACAAAATTATGCAAACAGCTATGTACAAATTACTCTGAACAGAGAGAGAAGAGCACCGTCTGTGGTTTAGGGTAAAACATGGACCACATAAAATCTAATATGGAACTTAATACTTGAAAAAAGTTTCTTATTCAGATTTTAAATATTATTTTTAAAATTAATTTTATGGTACATTTTAGATGTATATAATGATAACACTCGTAGGGAATTTGTGCCTGTATATAATACATCTTGGTTCTTATTTTACCTGTTTCTCTCCTTATTTACAAAAGCTTTGTTCCAATTTTTCCTTCTCTTTTTTCTTTCCCACCCTTAATCCTAGCAGCCTTGGGCTGGAGATTTAGCTCGGTGGCATAAGCGCCTGCCTTGCAAGCAGGCAGACGTGAGTTCAATCCCCGGTACCAATAAAAAGGAAAAAGACAAAAAAAAAAAAAAATCCTAGCAGCCTTAACCCTAGTATTGTACCATGAATGAATCACACATTCTAGATGCATCCCTCACTGAAAAATCCTCACCTAATGACTGCACGAGGCTTTAGGGGGACATCTAAACACAAGCCATAACGATGTCTGTTATGCATTTTGGTCTTTATGTGCCTTTCCAGTTTTTTACACCAGGGAAACTGTGTGATATTTAAACATGAGTGTCTCATTTATTTTACTTGAGGATGGTCTCAAGATGTATCTATTTACCTAGAAATATCTCAAGTTTATCCTTCTTTGTGGCACAATAGTACTACATGGTATGAAAAACCACATCATCTTTATCCATTGTCAGTTGATAGGCATTTGGGCAGTTTCTAGAATTTAGCTATTACAAATTATACTGCTACAAACATGGTGTGCATGCATCACTGTGGTATGATGCTTTTAATTCTTTCAGAAAGATACCAAAAAGATATTCATGGGTTGAATGGAACCTCTAGTTTTAGTTTTTTAAGGAATCTCCACACTGATTTCCGTATGATATACACTCCCCAGCAACAATGGTGAAGTGTTCCTTTTTCCCCAGGGTCTACCAGCATTTGTTATTGGTTGATTTCTTCATGGTAGTCATTCAGTGACATGGAATATGAGTGTTTAGTTTGCATCTCTCAAATGACCAGTGATGTTGAACATTTTTTCATGTATTTTATTACTGTTTCTATTTCTTCATCTGAGA